TGGTTCCTCGAACTGCTTCTGTAAGTTGTACAGCTGTCTGTGGCCTGGAAATCATTTGGTCAAACCCCCCTTTAAGCTCGTCCCAAAGGTGTCCTATGGGGTTACTATTTGGATCGTTGGTGGCCATGGTAACTTCTTCAATGCCAAAAAGTCTTGTGTCGCCCTGGCAGTATGAGGTCTTGCATTATCCTGCTACAATATCCATTGCTGTTGCCATCTAAAGAATGGTACCAAATAGGGTTGAATGACATGGTTGATGTAAACCTGCGCATTGACACCATTGCCGCGACCAGAGCCAATATTGTGAAAGGCAGTCGGGTCTACTGTCTCAATAAAACCAATACCGCCCATACCATGATGTCTGGTCCTCCCCATGGATCATGTTCCAAACCATTTCTATCACCATACCGCCCTCGTCGTCTACACTACGTCTTCACCCTGCCATCAGCCCTGGACACACGAAACCGATATTCATCCGTGAATAATACGCCTACTTTTTGCCATTGCCATTGATGCCATTGGCGATATCTTCTGGCCCACTGCAGACTTTGTCGACGTTGTCGTAATGTCAGCACTGGTCGCCGGAATCTGAGGTTTTCATTGCCTAGACGCCACTGTACTGTCGCATCACTTATCGATCTCTGATGGGTGCCGATTGTCCGTCTGACAGTTTCCGTTGCCTGTTGGAAGCGATTTGTCTATGTTGTATGTGAATTAGGCGACCTTGTTTGTTGGCAGTTACTCTCGGCCTACCTCTACACCGCCTATCATCAATTGAGATTTTCAGGTTAAATCTGTTCAGCAAATGGTGGATAGTGCTAATATGGACGTTAAAGTTTTCAGCAACCACCCGTGCGGTCTGTCCAGCCTGGATTCTGTCTATAGCCTGTTCCAGCTGCTGACGTGATAGTTTAGCCATTCTTACAACATTGTTACCTAAAGTGATTTATTGAATATTTGTACAGGCGTTTAATACCAATCGGTAAACAGATATACACGTGCTTTTAGCGTTCACAAAAAATCGTGCGGATGTACGTAACATGGATAAGCGACAGAAAGTCAATTGTAATCCATACTCCTCGCAGTGTTTCGTTTGGTTAGAGCTAATCCCACTTAACACTGCTGTAACGGAAGCAGATTTAAGTTCCAAATTATGACTGGTCAATAGTCCGATTATAACCAATAGCTAACTGCGTAACAATATCATTACGCTTTAAACAGAGCTCCAAATTGGACCAAATATGTTTACATAACGTCACGTCATGACTCACGATTTTATTGTGCCCAATTAACCAGTGCATAGCAGAATATTGCAGAAAAACTAATAATTGCGTGATAAACTAGGCTATCAAAACAGTACTTTCACCGGTTTAATACCTTAAATCACTGTCCAAAGTTTTAGGGAAGATCCCAGATTAAACGAAGGACTGTCATGTTGCTGTACTAGGGATAGATTGGATTGACTAGGAAGAATATACACACTCCGTTAAAAGCTCAAGTATCAAAAGCCAATCCAGCAATGGCCAGAGAGGGAATGCTCGGGCCATTGCTTCAGGAATATGATTGTAAGCCATCATATGGAAGTTATGTTTTTCCCCCAAAAAATTGGACCTATACTTCACATATTACATTTACCTGACCATGTGGTACAAAATTTTCGCATTGAACTCGAAACTACACACGTACTATTAGTTATAAAACGTGTGCGTTTCTTTTGTCGTTGAGTATAGAAAGTGTCAGATTTGTCTTCCATAAGATGTGTGTTTTACGTCAGACTCTGGGTGTCATCAACAATAATACTATTAAGTATAATATATAAATATAACACGAACAAGGGAATCCAAACTGATTTTATATAACTTACTTTATAATTCATATTAGGGTATCGTCATAAATAATATAGTGACATAAGCTTTATACTAATTATGTCCTAGGCCCTTTCTTTGTAAGAAAGTGGGCGAAAAATAGTAATAATGTTCGTTACTGATAAATCTATTATCTTACAGAAAACATCTCTGTTATATATACATATTTAACTGTATAAAAGAATAATTATATTGTGCTTTTATGATGGCCATGCATTCTCACATACACGTTAATTTCAATTATTAAGTTTGAAGATTGTTCATTTTTTGCATATAAATATATTAAAATTAAAGATGCGTATAGAAGAGCTAAATCTGCATACCTTCAGATGTTATACATACAACTCTCTAGAACATCGGATGGCTAAGATATTGGGCGGATTAAACAATCTTCATTAAACGCCCTCACAGAGACTTAAAATCGAGACATTTTTAAATTTCCATTATCTATTTTAAACTGTTATAGCAAGAACGATACGCTCTTTACCTAAATCTTACATAATGCATTTCAATAGTTTGGTAAATACTTTGATTATGGCTAGAGATTATTCCTGTTGAAACAGACTTGACAAAAATAAGCTTCTATCATAATTGTTGAAAACAACGAGTTGATATTGGCGCGAAATCTATTGTTTGTCAACGTGGAAAAGACATATCATTATGTAACATGAAAACCCTCTCTGGGTGAATGCGACTGGGAATACTAAATCACAACGTTTTCCAATCAAATGATATACTTGTCATGTCTACAGGACGATGCATGTCTGTAAGGAAAAACAAAGGTAATTTATCGATGTAAAGCGAGGAAAATTAAAATAATATGCGTGGTCGAAGTAACATTTCGAAGCGTATTCCGAAAATTATTAAAATTATGTTTATTAAACTTCCATTTGCCCCATTAAGCAATTTTCCTCTGAATTTGTTTCCTTTTATGGAAAATAATTTAATAATAATAATGATAGAATAATCGCATTAAAATCAGTCGGTATCGCTATCACACTCAGCAGCAGCATCAGTAGCAGCACTATTGTCTACTACATCAGTTAGGCCATTATATTGTTTGTGCACTAAAACAAGATTCTTTCAAGAAAGGCTTTGCTTTATTTTTTAATACATTTTGCATAGCTATTTTTTAATAAATTATCAGTTCTCGGTTGATGTTAAATTAGATGTATAAACAGTTATAGTGTTTCATGTCTGTGATTTTGTTAATGACTGTATGATTTTTATAAGTTCATGTTCATCAAATCACGAATAAACGCCTCATGAAATTTGTTTTGTGCCCGGGTTTTATTTGCTGGTTCGGTTTTTGCTAGATTATTGTGTTAGACGGAAGGCTAGACAGCACATAGTGTTGCATTACAATTATATGCCAAATAAATATATATGATTATGTTGTACATATCTGTAACATATCCCGACTTTGACATTTGAACAGCAGAACTGATTCCAATGTTTCTAATAACCATATAAAAATAAATCCCAGAGATAAAATCTGTTGAAATATCAATGACGTACTCGCATTTTTATAATTTTAAAAAATGTCAGTATCTCAGATTTTATTCTTCTGTAAATCAAAATATGATTGGTCCTATGTAATAATAAAATACGTATTGCAGAAATTGTATTGATCGCATTTACATCATCCGATGTATAAAAAATATATTATAACATGTAGATGATCGTTTCTATATGTATTGCCGACAACTTTTTCAATAGAAATGACATTTCTGGAAAGACGGATCAATGTATGTTTTTGGCAGATTACATTTTACGAAAACCTTTTGACATAAATTGATATAATATGACGTATTTAAAAAAGCATTAGAGCCTTTTTTGTTCTGCTTTCCATTCCATGTTTATCATTATGAAAATGACTTAAAATAATCAATTTGTGATATTTTAATACATCAACATATGCACAAATATCAACTTAAAAACGCACACAACTCTTTCGATTAAAGACTTTATTACTTTGCTTTTTAATATTGATATCCGTAGAAAAAGTTGGGATCACGTGGCTAAGTGGGAAAGACACTGGCTCGCTAGCCTGGAGGTCGGGTGTTCGATCCCTGCATTGGCAGAGAAAGTTCATCCAGATTTTCCGGCGTGGGTTCCCCCCTTGTCAGTGATGTAGGACAGAGGGCCTGACAAGGACAGCTGTCTAGTCCTTAGGAGGAGACGAAAAACCAAGGTCCCGTGTATATATTGGAATGCACGTAAAAGATCCCTTGGCAGTTGGAATTCGATATAAGAGCGGCACTTGCCCGGGCAAAATTTCCCTTATAGCACACTGTATGGCGTATGCCCGTCTTCATTAGCCCAGCATAGGACGAGAACAGTCGGACGTTAAAGCCCATTTCATTTCATTTCCGTAGAAAAAGTACCTTTTTATGTCAAAAAATGGACTAACATTTAATAATTTACGATAAATCTGTATTATTGAGGAGTTTCGTTAATAAGGGACTTGCAAGATGCTGCGCAGTTTTAAAAAATGGTTCTGTTTCATTATAAAATCAAAAGCGACAACCACACTACTGTAATCTTAAACAAATACGCGACTGTCCAGACGCTGCAGTTTTCACTTGACGCCATGGAATTGAAATAAATCTAAACGTTGCATTTATTCGTTAATGTCTCTAAGCGTCTTTCACACATAATCGGGGATTGCTACTTTAAATCTTAAGTTGGTCTATAAAATTATTGCACATTTGCATCGAATACTGTAATTCTTGATTTAGTTTCCCAGGAGATACAAGTGTAATATTTAACCATTAAATCTCATTTTAATAATACCAGAAATGCTTAGATTATTCTTCGAGAAGACTCAATCGAAAATAAGACGGACATCACGTTGAGTGCTATGTTGGGACTCGAATCCGCAGGCCCTACAACAAGTATATGTAAACTCGAGACAGGACAGGGCTGACAGGGCAACACAGTGTAGACATCTACCGAGCACAGTCACACGGCATATTTACAACTCTTCTGCGTAATACCAGGAAGACATAATGCATACAAACCGTCCATCCTTGTTTTCACAAATGGGTTATTTTAATAACTCATAGTTATTTTAAACCAGGGTTATTATTATTGACTTTTGTTGTATATTGTCATCATTTATTATATTTACAGATTGTCGGTTAGGGTGTAGCCATGGATGTGAAAGATCAGAATTTGGAGATTTTTATTGTATATGTGGTGATGGATTCCGTCTGGATGTAGACAACATCACTTGTATTGAAAAAGGTAAATTCATCAGTGTAGTGAATATTTAATTGAATTACTCAAATCTACCATATAATTGTTCCTAGTTCTAAATTTGTTTTGTAAAATAGAAATGCACACTAAACGTCTCCAGGTATATAACGTACATGATAATTTTCTATTTTCACAGAAATGTATCGGATATCGGTTCAGTTGCCTCTGAAGGGTGTGGTATTTAACACCATGTTTTTGGACAGATACATATCACGAAACCTCAATCCATTTAAGGTAAGGCCGGTTACTATTTTTAATTTCATAGCGTGTAGTCTTATATGAAGTTTTACTCAAATTTCTTATTTTAGATCTGAACAAAAAGTGAAACGTATATCTTAATTATTTTCATTGGAGACATTCCTATTTATGTGTTCAAAGAACGTTGGCAAATGTTGAAAAATGCCGCCATAAATGTATGTGAATTATCTGGGTACTAGCCGAATGTAAAATAATTTGATGGAATTCAGAATAATCTAAAGACACATTAATGTCGCCACTATCTTAAAATTAGCACCATTAATGTAAAACTAAGAGAAGACGTGATCATCGGTCAGAGAAAAAACAATTTCTGAGAATTTTGGCACCACATAATGCCTCGTGAAAATTATCCTGGTTCAAACCAGTGTACACCACATGACCTGTTGACTAATGGCTTTTTTTTTATTTATTTTTTTTTTGCAAACTGAAAATTGCGTTTAAAGATGTGGTGCGGTTAGAATCTTTACTAAAGTTTCATTAGCAAGTATTTTCTCCTATGTTAGCTTACGAAAATAGAATTAATAGCACCAATTATTTTCGAAATCCAGTTAGAATTGTCGTTTAAAGGTGCCCCGAAAATTAATAATATTACAGTCAAACTCGATCGTTGACTTAACCAAGAAGAAAAGTTACCAACGCGATTCCTCATAACCACCAACATTGTCCTTTAATTATGTTTATGTTTAAATTCATAATTATATTAGCAATACATATATAGACCAAATACAATATTAATGAACACTTGTGTTAACGAGGTCGTATTTGGTAACACGTGATTAATATGTATTTTTAGATGGAGTGGATTTGATCGGTTATATATTTAGGTTTTAATTAGTTATTATTAGCTTAATTAAATTTTATTTGAAGCGTGTGTATATTTAGACTTTTATGTCAAACATGATCAATATGAATCCTGTTATTGCGATTGAATAACAGGAATCAGGAATCAATCTATAGGCTTGTAGCACCGGGGGCTTTCTTTCAGTAGTTTATCCACGTTGATAACTCTGATTCGGTTTATGAATATGCTGATAGAGATAATTTTAAATTTCATTTAGAATCATTCACTGATGGTCTCAGTCCCTTTACAAAATACACAACTCCTTCTAGCCGTCATATTCGTTTCTAAAAAATAGAGCAATCAAATTGTGTTGATATTCAATCACTTAATTTTATTATTTTCTTCTCGTTGACTGATTAATTTCGTATTATCGTTAACAGCTTATAGCGATATAAATATGGTCTATCAAATTAACTTACATCAAAACTAATTTATTTGAAGTATATATAACAAAGTTTGCCCTATAACTATAATCAAGCTGTTTCCTTCAAAAAGAGGTTACTAGCACGAATCACTTAACCTAAACTTCCTTTATAAGACTCCGCATGACCGTGGTGCCGATGTAAAAAAAAAAACCCATAACAGAATACTTGCTTGCATTTGCTGTGATCTGTGAGTGTTCTAGTAAGCCTGGGTTTCACCATATTCCTGAAGCAATGCCCCGAGAAATCCCTCTCTGGCCATTGCTGGATTAGCTTATGATACTTGAGCTTTTGAGGGAGTGTGTTTATTCTTCCAGTTCAATCAAATCTATCCCCAAGCACAGCAACATGACAGCCCTTCGGTTAATCTGCGGTCTTCCCTAAAACTTTGGACAGTGATTTAAGGTATTAAAACGGCGAAAGTACCGTTCGTCTCAAAACAATATTGTTTACATTATATCCGTGTTGACAGTTGATAGCCTTTTTTGTCACACAATTAGTTTTTCTGCAATATTCTGCTATGCACTGGTTAATTGGGCATAATAAAATCGTGAGTCATGACGTAACGTTATGTAAACATATTTGGTCCAATTTGGAGCTCTGTTTGGTATTGTTACGCAGTTAGCTATTGGTTGTTATTCGGACTATTGACCAGTCATAATTTAGAACAAGAATTTGCTTTCTTTACAGCAGTGAGTAGTGGGATTAGCTCTAATCAAACGAAACACTGCGAGGAGTATGGGGTTTCACATGCAATATGCAGACTACATTAGCAAGACGTTTTGTCAAGATAACCGTCTGCCAGATTGCCTAATTACCCCGATCGATTGATCTCCGGATTAAATATATCCCAGAAGCAAAATGCCCCTGTTATATGTTTTCTAACTGAAATTGGTATAACTATACAGAACGTTATTACAGATGGTAGACATCGAAATGATTGTAGTTAGGGTTCAGTATGTCTAATTTTAGATATTAGGTAATGCTTGTCTTGACAGAAAAAAAAGCACAATTGAAATACATAAATGAGAATGATTTTTAGTGTTACAGATTGTATTTGTCGATAGTGATCTGATTTTGAAAGAAATCTTGAGTTTTGTTCTATTTAATCAACATTTTGGAAGTAGTATCATAGTCTGTTTTTTTTATTTCCTGAAGTGTGTGCCAGGAATACTTAACACGTTATGGGGAGAGGGGGGGGGGGTGGATGGCCGAATGGTTAGCACGTGCGCGCTGTATCAGCCGAAAGGTCTGTCATTGAGTCAGTAACGTCGTCTGCCCAACCTCGTGGGTTTTCTCCGGGTCCTTCGGTTTCCTCGCACTGCTACAGACCGCAAGCGACTTTATGAAATAAAATTGAACCATGTGTTAGTCCCGAAATGACCTGGTTTGTGTCGAGTCGGCGTTAAACCCCGTTCCTCTCTCTCTCTCTTAATATGTTTTAAATTCAAACTCATTACATTAGGGCTATTCTTTTGAACGCTTGGGTTCTTCTGGCTTTTAATTAAAACAATAATAAGCCTATAAGTCATACCTGTTCAATTGAAATTATTGGTTACATTATTAGAAACATGTGGGATGATAGGGGGATCTGTTAGTATAAACTCACTCCGTGACACAACCTTATTTTTTTAATTAGTGTTTTTATGTAAACGATTACCGTATAATCAAATTTTAAAAATACTTTGTCCATTGAAAATCGTGCATGAAATCATCTGGTAAAAATCTACAGTCGTTAATGATGCGTAATCACATATTGTCATTGTACGCATTTAACTAAGTAATAACCAAAAGCCTTACGGAACACAACATGACTTTGTTCTTAGTCCTAAGTAGTAACAACCTTTAATGCCAGCATTGAATCGGCTCACCAAGTTCTATTTCCTACCACAAAGGAATGATTGAGCATGTTAAATGCAAATAAGAGTTTGGTTTTTGTATTTTATACAAACTTTATCGACCTAAAACACATGAATTCATGTTCATGCTTAAAGAGGAAAATGATTCGCCAGAGATAGTTTCTTTTAATGCCATATACAATTTAGCAATACATGTAATTTATCATGCTTAGCAAGACAGTTATGTCCAAATAGACCACAGTGTTAACTGCGAGATAAATTTTGATGTTAGAAAATTGTCTTGGGATGAGAAATTGTTGGAATCAAGCTCAATTTGGAAATAAAGAATGAATATTGACGGGATTGAACCTTTTATTAATTTTTTGTCTCTAGACATCTCTCAGTCTGCTATATGTTATTGTTAGATTTTCTACCTTTGACATGTCGTGGTGATAAAGAAGATCTGTTTGTCAATGTATCAATAATGGCTTGGTGAAAGAGGAACATAGACTTGATTCTAGTCGTCCAGGATTGCCAAACCCACAAAAAAACGGGGGACCTGAATTTTAGGGGAACTAAAATATGCGGATTAAAAAGGTTCGACTCTATTCTTAGTCTAAATGTAAAAAAAATGGAATGGATCTTAACGTGTGAGTTGACCGGACGATAAATATTATAGATAATGTATATAAACACCTCACCATCATTCTGTGTTAATACAGACGTTAAACTATAATTGAACTTGGTAATTATATATTTTCGTTATTATTGAAATGGACGCTTAGCAGATTTTATATAATTTACATGTTAGAATAGGTAGAGACAAGTTAATCTCCCGATAAACTGTCTTCATTTATTTTAATAATGAGAAAAGGAGTCGTTGATCCATGCTTAAGTCTGTCTGATTGATACAGACGATAAATAAATATGGTTATTATTGATATCATTACATAAACTCAAAATCAGAAAAACAGTCTGTAGCAACATCGGCTGTAAAAATGTCGAAAAGTGTAACAATTATTATATTAGGGGTTGCATTGTCTGTCTGTTGCAATCTGCCTTTCACAATTTTAAGCACAATAACCCGACTGCTTATAAATGAGCTGGGAGGTTCAAACGTGATGTAGATGTTTATTAGTGAAAATCTTGACTATTGCGACGATGTACATTTTCTGCTTAACCTAAGCAAATATATGCATTTTCACAATTAAAATTAATTCTAATTAACTTAGAGTGGTGTAAAGTTTCGTGTCTAAGTTAATAGGCATTTCTGCTAAGGTTAAGCCAAGTGATAAGCAATTTAATTGATCGAAACGCTGGGGCACGGTAACCTTCAAACGTTCATTACACCAACTTCGATAATGAGTATTTTCTGCTTAAAAGGCAATGTATAGCCTTTGGAACATGGGGCAGAATGTTCAAACTTGGTGAAGGTTTAAATTGGGTGAATGTTATGACTGACTTCGAAGATTAACATTCTCCACTAAGTCTTAGCAGACATAAACAATTTGATTGGTTGAGACTTTAGAATATCATAACTGTGATTCTAATTGGGTGATACTGATAAAGCTCCGAATATTTTTTCATGACATCATTACCTTAATTTAGTTCGATGATTTGAACACAATAACTGAGTTACATATACATGTCCATTAGGTGAATGTCTTAAGTGGGTTCAGTGATTAACACTTTCTGCTAAAGCTAGCCGGGATATTGGTCGATAACGATAACCTTGATTCTAATTCGATTCAACGCCTGTAAGCTACAAGGGGTAGGGTGGCATACCTAACCTCAGATAGATCGTTGTTCTGATTTCCTGCAGATGGCTGGAGTGCAAAAGTGTATGTTAAACTTTACTGGAAACTAAGGTAATTTCGCATGGCTAAATTTGTTGTACAATACGACAGTAGATGTGTTGAGTCAAGACAATAACATCAACTTATGAAATATGTCCAGAATTTCCATTAATTAATATGATTAAGTGTGAATTGACTACATCTCGAACAAGCAACCTCAAAATGACTGAAGCATTTTGTTGTGAGATGTTCAAAACCACTAAGCGAAATTGGGCTATTTTTACATTTGGAAATTAGACAATAAGTATCGACAAGACCCTTGACCATTCATAAAATCTTAAACTAAAATCAACGAATGAAAATGTTAACTCCTGGAAATAATTTAGTCTAAGATTTCGTGAATAAAGGCTTTGACAAGAATCTCTCTGATCTACCATTCACACCATCACCTACACCCACATACGAACACAAACAAAGCGAAGAGGAGAGCGCCCGAGGCACGTTTGCGTGTATAGAAATAAAGTCACTTTTGTTGTAATCATATCCATTTTAATAACTAGTTTCATGTATTTTTTTTACATTTCTTTATTAAAGTTGACAAAATCTCTATTCATAGTTTTTAGAAAATCCGAAAGAAATAAGGAATTAAAGTTTAATGAAAGATATAACCAAATCTCTGTTTTTTAAAAGTTGGGAAAAACACCCAATTTCATTACTTCACAGCTGCAGCTGATGTTCTTACAGTAATTACTTGCACTGCATACCAATATGTTTTGACGCACTCTTAAATCTAGTTACTTTAACTGGCCATTTTCTGCTCATTTGGTTTCCTTATTGATGTACGGACGAAGAATATATTGGCTATTTAGCCATCTCATTTACCGGATAGACTTGATTCTAATTGCAACTAAATTATCTATTAGGTTATCTTATCCAGCTGGAATCAAAACGAGTTAACCCAATCAGAATGACTAACACGAAGATAATCAATTTACATTAAGACGCTCGAGTTTCTAAATGAAATGAAATTAAGTTATAGAGTATCATTAAGGACATGACATAACATGCTAAACTTCGGGTGGAATTACTAGTGTGGGTCGTATTTTTAAAGGAGAAGCTCTAGTTTGCATTAGATCTTCGAAGAACTGATCACATAATCAAACGTTTAAATTTGACGACATCGCCTAATTGTTACCATGCCTAAAAGTTTGAGCCGTTTGGAAAACTGTATATTTACATTATGTAACTCTTTTATGTCGATTACTTTTTGAAAAAAAAAACAACAAAAAGAAACCGAAAGTATAGCGGGAAGTGATCACGACGCACTCCCAATAGATATGATATCCAAACCCAAGGTGGTTGCTATACAGTTAAGGAACTTGTCTTCGACCTGCCCTGACAACTGGGCGTTGTTATTTCTTTAATAAACGCGTATTTAGAAAGCTTCAGGTAGTTGTTTGGTATAAATGGTTTACTAAAAGATATCTTCGATTTCCCCGTATAGCGTCGCTGGAATTGGATGTTTTATTTGTAATTATGATAATAAATTATTTCTTCAATAACTATCAAGTAGATGTATATATGAAACACCGCATTAAGTATAAACAAAGGTACAGATACTTTATCTATATAATGATATTTAAATTTACATTAGACATTTTCACATTAAGACTTTTCGAACAATACAAGATGGCAGGTTTTATTACAAGATGGCTAGGGTTTATAGACCTATATGCAGTAATTGTGTTTGTACAAGAGCTCGAACCAGCGGATACACTTATCACCATGTTTAACCTGAAATACCGGTTCAATATAATAAAAAAAAAATACTTGAGACGATATTAATTACCATTTTTTCGTATTAGTTTAAAACTTTGCATTCTTCAACGGAGAATGATATAACACTCTAAATACGTACGTATTGCCGATTAACCAACGTAATCAATTTGTTTCTGTACTGCTAATAAATCTGCCAAAGAAAAAAAATGGCAGTACCGCCATTTTGGCTTTACCTGTTTGAAAGCACTTGAAAGCAATCAAAACAATTTTTTTATTTTTCTATTAAGCTGATCTGTTTTCATACTATCGTCGGCCTTGGGAAATTTGAATTTAATAACATCTTTTCCTAATAAGATACCAAAAGATAAGTCTTTTGAATTAATTTCATGTGATTGATTTCTTCCTGACACTGGTTTCCTACCCAGTATCCCTCAAGGCAAGTTAGCGAAGACCACAGTGTGACAATGGCCTTTGTATTGTTTTTTCCGAACTTTCTGTAGATGAAATGTCTTCGTATCTAAGTAGCTCTATATCAACAAAATAAAAAAGGACTTTCTTCTGGTTATACTTTGTTCTTCGAGATGGATGAATGTTTCTTAGAATGTCATTAGTGTTACTTTGTAGAAATCTTAAATTTAACGTCCAATGCAGCTTGCTTATCAGTAACAGGAAGCAATTCGTGGAATGGGCGAATGTAACGGATCATAGGTTGCAATATCAGGAAAAGGAGTCGAAGTTTCCAAAATACTTTGTAATAAACATCAGAAAGTTTCAAGGTCCACGTTTTAATTTAATTTATGTTTTAGGATGTCGGTGTGTGTGTGTGTGGGGGGGGGTAGTAAACATCAAAAACTTTTCGGAGGTCGATGTGTGTGTGCGGGGGGGGGGGGGTAATTGCCATATGGTTTTCTATTCTACATGTTCCACCAGCAACAACTCAAAAGCTGTACGTGGGAAACTTTGTTGGTTTTCCACACCGAAACTACCCACTGTAAGACCTGGTGTTCTACCTACAATAGCACCAAAACGATAGTTGGGATGATCAAATGGTGATTTCAGATCCACGCGTTTTACCAACAAGAGCACCAACGAAGTCTATAGGTGGAATGATTCATAATGTTTTTAAATCCACATGTTTATCCTGCACTACACTGTCTCCCTATTCATATTAGGAGCTCTAAGAAAAATACGTTCAACAATATTGCCGAATTTCCAACGTAATCAATTTGTTTCTGTGCAAGGTTTCATATCTATCTAGGACATTTTATTTTCAGCTGGTCGAGAAATTGAGAGCTATGGGATTACATACAGCCACGAGGTTAAAATACGACAGACTCAGGTTAGTGTAATATCATCTTATAAATTGTTTTAATCATTTCTAAAAGAAGCATTAATGATATACTTCTTTGAAATATGATTTTATCAAACACAGCTGTACATGTTATTTGAAAAAAATACAAATGAGCTGCTTTGTGACATAGCCAATGGTGATTTATCTTGTCTTAGGCAACTATATATTTAGCCAATCACGACGACTTCATATATAATAAAACAAAACTTAGAAGGAAGTAATTGTAGCTCACATGAAAAAATAGACATTGTCCAAAAGAAATTCAAAATGATGATCGAGAATTATAGAATTATACTCAGAAAGGAATACCTGGTGTCTTGTCCTTTACTTCGACAGAGATTAATTTTTTGAGAAATCTTTTTGGGTCTTTGAAACCAGCGGCTCTAATCGGGTCCTTCGAAACATTGTTCGACGATTCGTTGTCATAGAGACTTTAATAATATCGTGGCGTCATTCGCATGGTTTGTAAAATATTAATAGTGTCTCGATTTATTTCGTAGTGAAACGTACCCAGACTGATCATTTAACATTGAATCAAGAAAACAAAATCAAAATATCAACATTAAATGCCCATAATACATTTCGACGAAAATTAGTGGATGCCGCATTTTGACGAATTTTACAATCATCATATCTTTGTAAATACTGAACAGAATTGAACCTATTCGTTTAGAGACCAAACTTCCGCAATATCGTAGATATCATCCCTCAAATGACAAATATATGTAGGTGCTTTAAAGCTATAAAAATAAGCATTTATTTTTCTAAACTAAATCAATTCTCAGATCGATGTACTCTTGGTGAAATCAATGTTAGCTCAGTAAATGCCATCATTTAACCGATACAAAAACGGAACAGGTCCATCGGCAATTTTAACCCGTGGTTGAGCCACGAACCGTTCGATTAAAGTGTCCGTTGATTGACAGAGAGCTAAGTAAAATTTTAGAACCAAGATAGAAGACTTAATTTTCCGGATACAAACTTCTGAAGTTGATAGTTTGTTCAGATGTCTGAATAATGTGAATGTCAGGAAACTCTATTGGGTGTCGTCTGCTAGATTATATTAGCTCTTACATTACGTGGCTTTCAAGGAGAAATTGTTGGGTTTTTTTTAATTTTACATCGATTTGAACCGATAGAATATCGGCTATTCGCCAATGTAGCCTAAATGAATATGAATAATTTGTTCAACACGTTGTCAAAAGATTTAAAAGTACACTTTTTAAGAGAAAATAATTTCGCGGTGTTTCGTAAATATTTCCTTCCAATTTTGTTAGAAGGAAAAAAAAGCCATCTCCTTAGAAAACAAAGAACAAAAAATACTCCACCACATTCCTGAAAGTGATGAAAAGAAGGCAAGCATTTATTCTTGGGTGCGCACATATAATTTGTTTTAGTAAATGATATTATTAGTCCACCTCCTATTTTAATATGTGCATGGTTTGTAACGAAACCTGACTGTATTTGATGTAGTAAAGTGCTAGAGATAAATGGAATGGAATCAATTTACTGTTTTCAACTTTCATAGCCAATGATAATGTTATCTTCCGTTTTGGGTTGGGTTTTTCTGCACGAAGATGGAACATTTTATTTTTATCAGGTGCATTTTCTTTGATTTATTCTGCTATCAGATGACGAGATAGAGAACCGTAGAAATTTTAAAAGCATTGCATGACTGATTCACCAGGGTTATTTTTGACGAACAGGTCTTTTTTGATGTATTTAATGGATTGCGTGCTCAGTAAAAATTATTATGATTTATGTTCAATATGCAAAGTTTAACATGGAAATGAAATTAAGAATGACATTAAAGTTCTAACCTGGCTTTGTATAGTCTGTGTATTTTAAGATAAAAATAAATCGAGTCCATTATATAAAATATTAATAATCATGAGCTGATTATATATGACTACCTGTCGACAGAAAGACGACATGGTTGTCTCCTACGACTATTTACTGTATAGTTAATCAAAAGAATGATTTTTTTCTGACCGTTGTCATTAACTACTGGAAAGCAATTACGCCTACGAGATGTATTCTGAACTATCACATAGCCATTCGTTATGACATAAGAGCTCAAATTAGCACAATTTGTTCTTTAATGTGTGGCGTCAACTTCGTTGACGTCAGCAATGTCAGAATAATAATTACTGGACAGATGTTAGTTTAAACATCGAATAACTTGCCGGTCAGACTCGTCTAAGCTAGCTTAACTTTGTGTTCTCAACGCACAAGATGGGCAAACAAACCCAGATTAAAGTCAATGGGATTGCTACTGCCCCTGTGCCTTTAAACGTCGGCGCGCTTTAAAACATGATTATACTCTTCAAAAAAAGTAGGGAATATTGAAATGCAAATACATATATGCAGGTTGTGATATGATAAATAGTCATGGACACTTGACGTGCTTTGAGAGTATGTTCACTGATGAAGAACTTATCGCCCCAACAGAACCACTGAGCTGCCCGTGCGGCACGCAATAGCGCCATACACGTGGGAGTTTTTTTTTTTATCATATTTGACACTTCAAGGAAGGGTTGATGAAAACTGCCGCGTGCTGGTTTATCCAATCCATGTTTGCTTTCCTATCGGTTCTTGAATAAGATTTACTGTTTAGCGTATCTTTGCTTTAGTGTGTTACGTTTATTTTATTTGCAATGAGACGTCTTTAACATGATGAACGTCTACGTGCTATTGGTATGCGTCCAATGGGTTCTACACAGCAAGGAGTAGACAGCATGCTTAATGTGTCACAATGTTGATGATAGACCTCGTTCATGTCGTCCTAGAGTTACTACACAAGCCCACGATCGATATATTCGTACACGGGTCCTGCGAAACCGAGGACAAACGGCCAGTCGGCTTTCTGTAAACTTGTACCAAGTTACAGGAATTCGAGTTACACCCCAAACGATTAGAAATCGGCTACATGCAGCCCATTTGCATGTGCCACGTGTTGTGCCTGCATTAACTCACCAGCACATCGCAAACAGGCGTCAATGGTATAGGCAGCGTAGAAATTGGGCTAATCGTCGATGGGCGCGTGTAATGTTCTCAGATGAGTCCAGATTTACTCTGGATTTCACCGATAGGCATGCTCGCGTTTTGAGGCGTATAAATGAGGGTCATGCTAACGTTAACGTCAGACAGCATGACAGATTCGGGCGTGGGTCTGTTATGGTATGGGGAGGAATCACCGTGAATCGCAGAACGGACTTGCATATTGTTCAAGGAAGGGTCACTGGTGTGTACTACCGTGACCACATACTGGCACCGATAGTTCTGTCCTTTGCTCAACGTGCAGGTCGACGTTCCATCTTTCAAGATGATAATGCCCGTGCCCACCGATCGTGTCGTGAATGACTACCTCCAGTGTCACCATATTGTCCATATGCCTTGGCCAGCCATGAGTCCTGACCTTTCCCCTATAGAGCATGTCTGGGACATGATCGGGAGACGTGTTCGTCAACGTCAACGTCAACCGACAACACTGCAAGAATTGGCCGTGGAACTGCAAAAGGAGTGGGTCAGATTGCCCCAAATCGTGATTGGACGAATGATTAGGAGCATACCACGACGAATTGCTGAATGTCTGAGGATTGGTGGAGCAATTACTCATTATTAAGACAAAAATCAAAAACGTCAATTTTCATTTTTGACAGTGTATCTATTTGCGAGTGAAATGGGGCCATTAGATAAGCCGCCCATATGAACTGTTTATGTTCATGTGTAGGCAATTCGCCTGTTATTAACATACACTGGTTACCTCTAATAAAAACAGCAGTGCATTTCCGCAGTTTTGTATTGTTTCTGAATATTCCCTACTTTTTTTGAAGAGTAGCTGCCCTATTAAATTGTCTGTTCGGGAAATACGAATAGAAAGGGTCATGCCGGATATTATTTATAGGTTGAAACTAGTTCTGTGGTTTTCATTAGATTTCCAGCTTAAAACTTTTTGAAATACAAAATCCTTATACGCCGTTGATTGAATGGATACCGCCAATACATTCGGTGATAAACTATATTTCGATTGGTATGTATGAACTCAAATTTGAGCAGTTAGCAATTATTTGAAAATATCATTTGACACAGCGGCTTGCTCGTGACGTAAGTCAATTAGAAATGAAAACTGACTAACGAAGCGAATAGCCAAGCAATGCACTTCGACTAAGCTTAGAACTGCTTCATTTAGTACATCATAATGTAGTTTTATAGTGATAAATAATATAAATGGGGAAATTGTGACTTATAAGTTACTTATTTAGAGCGGTGGACTATAAAAGTCCGCTAATGTAGTTTTATTGTGACAGATTGATTTATTAAAGTTTAAATAATATTCTCTTAGAACAGAATAAAATGAATATACGTAAATTGATATTTATAACTTAAGTTTGAAATAAGCTTTAATAATTTAAAAACGGGAATATAATAGAGGGTTTTACACAAGCTAAATCTGTTCCCCAATCAAATATTGCCTTTACATTGGTTCCATTCTGTACAACATAAAGTCGTTTTATTTTGGCAAAGTGGTTTAACTTTTTTTTAAATTTAAATATTATTGTTTAAGAATGACATAAAACAAGTACATAAATTGGATATTTATAACGCGGGTTTGAAATATAGCTTACTGATGTAGAGACGGACTAAAATATTGCTAATTAATGTAGTTTTATCACGACAAGATAGATTTATATTTCGTAGAAATGATATAAAACAAGTAAGTATTAAAGGGAAATTAAGAGTAACAAAAAGTACATAAAATATTTTATATAATTTTACCATCAGAAATACTATTTATTATTATATATAGTGCCATTCATCTTTCTCTTGTGTAACAGTAACCATAAGAAAATCATGTTCTGCATATGATATCAAGACACAGTAACCATTGGTGTTATATTAAACATATTGTTGTTTTGCATCCAAATTTGACAGAAATATGAGAATCTTGTGTACATGAAGGGAGAACACTGAGTATCAACCCATCCATATGTCTGTCCTGGCCTTATAACCTCAAATTGACAAAAAGCAAGCGAATTTGCATTAAAGATACATTAGTTAAGAGCTAAATCTGCCTATTGCAGATAATTAGACCCTCGGGTGGCTTGGATATAACTTTGATTTAAACAGTTGTCCATTTAATAATTAAATCAACAAATGACTGACCAATCTAACGTTTACCGTTAATCACTGATGTCACTACCAGAGATTGTCGATGAAAGGCCTGTCAATCGAGAGTACATAGCCATTGAGAATGTTACTTGATAATCGAAAATATGTGGCTGGAGTTATCAATCAAACAATCGACAATTTTTGGAGACAGTGCGGCGACAGCTGATGCCTATTTCTAGTCCAAACTTCCAACAGTGACAACGTCGTTCAGAATAAAGTAATTTAACTGAAATGTTCAATATTTTCTTTTTTTATCATCTATTCTTGAATTATTAAAGCAAGAATGTCAAACTCTTTATTAAACGCTTAACTAATGAATCTGTATGGGAAACGGCTGGGATACATCCATTCGTACGTCTGACTGGGACCCATGTGAGCAAGCTATTTATTGAAATAAAAACGATATCATACGTTAGCCTAAACAATATCGCCTAACATATCTCCCAGTTTTTAAACAAACAGGGAAACTTTTATTTATTATTACAGTGACAATGGTGGACAAAAGGAATTGTTGTTTCATTTCTTTCTGGAAATACAGCAGCTCCCTCTAGTCAATACAACTATTCATGATCTGATAACTCATGGTAGATTTCTGAATATCAGTGTCGATGTGGCCAACATAAAATATATCATAGATCCAGGTTAGTTGAATATCCCATCGATTTGTTTATCCGATTATTTTTCTTGATTATTAAGATTTGTAATGAATATCAAGACTTATATAAAACTACAAACCCCACCAAAGAAGATATAAGCAATTTGTGCCTGTAATGCTACACTAACTAATTAAAGTGTGTCATTTGCATAGTCCTAATGTCATCTTTCCGGAAAATTGAATGCATAATATTTTAAACCTATTTAGTTTTAAGAGAGAGAGAGAAATGGGGTTTAACGTCCACTCGACACAAAATAGGTCATTTCGGGACTAACATATGGTGTAGGGAGACTAATGGATCAATCCAGTCCAGCCGGTTCGCTACCTCCATTTTAAACGTGGATTGTTTACTTTCATAGTACTGTAATCCTTGTTTTGATTTGATAAATAACATTCTATATTATTTTAGATAAATATCTTTTGTGTGAATTTTTACTAGAAATGAAGTTACTGTTTGTTGAGAACTACGACCAGCGTCCAGCAATAGAAGATCAACTACTGACCATTGCCTGCACAGCACGTGGTTCATCGGATATGACGTTTCATTGGTATAAAGATGGCTACCTTGTCGACGTTAATTTAAGTGACAGGAATGCATGGGTAGTAAGAATACCTCGTACTATGAAAGATAAACAGATGTCTGTACTTAATATAGATGGCGTTACTGTATACGACAAAGGTGGGTTACTCTTGATTTGGTTTTTAATAAATCCTGAAATCAGGTGTGGGGGGGGGGGGAATCAACAGGGTTATTCACTATAGCATTCTGTTCAACAAAATAGTCATCCGTCAATCTGTAGGTTACAGTACTATTACCCCGGTCATACTTATCCACCATTTTCGGTTCTCCACTTCGTACGGTATGTTTTTCCTTCTGCTATATACTTACACAAAGAATCTTCTAGATTTTGTTTGGTCGTTTTCTTGTAGTTTGTATTATACCAGTGTTTATTCAGACGTGGTTTTAAATTTTAAAGTCAGAAAGAAAATAATAGCCTAAGATAATTCTCCTCGGAGTCTCTTGTAAGTAGACACAGATAATAAAGCAGTATCTGTGGACGAACGAAGATTTGGTCTTTTCCTGTTTGTAGAATGTGAATAATTGTTTCATGTAGGAGGGAGCAGTATCCGAAAACAAAGCTTTATACACATTTGATAGCATATTAAAAAGTCGATCCGAGCTTTCACAGGCAGCCTTTGGAGACTTTTAAGAGATTCTGCTACATGATCTCTAGAAGATGACTTGGCAACTAGTCGAGCACAGTTATTTTGTTGAGGATGTTGAGGAATGTTGAGGGAGAAATCTGGAATGTCAGCCAGGAGTCCATTTTCATAGTCCAAGTGAGATATGAACAATGCTAATACAACTCTAGCACATCTACCAAAAATAATTGGCTTTTGGTTTTTGAGATAAAAAAAAAATATATATCTATTTTGCAAAAAAAAAAAGATTTATCAGAGAGATAATGATAATGGATTTCTCAATTTTTGCTTAAAATTCTTCCTTTTATGATTTTATAACAAGGGAGTACAATAATAGAAAAAATAATAATAATAATAACCAATTCATTTATATAGCGCCAACAATTCAGCTCAGAGAGCTGCTCTCGTAGGCTTACATAAGTACAACTAAAATAATATTACAACAATCCCAACACATTATTCCATAAAAAAGACATAAACATAAAATAAAGAACATTATTTAGTACACATGGTAAAAGCCTGACACAAACCGTATATTTGTCAATTGTCACTAGTAACCCCAGAAAGTATTTAGATTTGTTTTCTTTTAGTTGTAGCCTAATGCTTTCCACTTTTTATGACGCAAATTTAGAAGATATCGTTGATATGTTATTATCATTAATATAATTTTTGTTTTGTCAAGTATGCTCGATGGTGAAAAGATTTTTCTCAAATGAAACTTTACGGTCGATAAAGGAACTTTGGTTCCAAATTATTTTTTCAAATCGGCATTATCTGAAAAGAAAGGGATGGAACATAGGGGTGGTACGTAATTGTTTTGTACACGGTGAACAGTCCATATGCTAATTACACTATTTTGCCTGATTACACTATTTTGCCTATACTGCTTTTTTAGGACTTCGAATTTTGTCTAATAGTTTAATAATAATAATGATAATAATAATAATAATCACTTTATTTCAAAAGGGTAGAAAATTAGGCCTGGGGCCTTTCTTTGGATTGTTCGTACTTGGTTTTATTTTATTTTTGCATTAAGCCTCTTGTTACAGGGCTGATTTGAATGCAGTGCCCTCTGCTGTTTATATGTAATATAAGTCATATATAAGTGCCTAACTGGTTATATAAAGTTAATCAAACACAACTGATCGAATAGGCTCTTTGTTATGCTTTTGTTTGAAAATATCATTCTGTCAGTCCGTTTAGGCTTCAATTATCTTCCGATCGTTTTGACATCAACGCTTTTCAATACTCTCCGCATAGTTATGTCCCATTGTTACGAAATCTAAATAGGATGTTTATATATTCTATTGATTGTAAAAACACTTGATTTTCGATAATAACTCCCAGGGCTATTCCCATTTACTCAATTTTAAATGTTTGTTCAGTAACAATGTTTGTCACTCCTTTTTTTCATTTGTTTTCCTCATTCGACCAACTAGCACTGTAATGTGAGTGACAAACTTGTCAACGTGTAATCATGCCTGCAGGTGCAGAATGTACATAATTGTCAACCCATGGGTCGTTTTAACATTTCAATAGGAACATAGGTGATCTTTTAGTTGATGTCTAAGTAACACCTGCTATATATACAGAAATAAGTAATTACTAAATTAACTATTGAGAATATACCTTTCTTATCTGTGCTAATTCGTTCCTTCTACATACAAGAGTTTGATTTGTGACTCCTATTGACAAATGTTATGCATTTATTAATTTTATATACTGAAGGGATCACAAAGCTGATGGTTGGCGCGTGTTTCGTTGCCTGGAAATCTATGTTTCTTAAAGGAAAGATGTGTATTTGCACCGTGCCATTTTTCATTTTACTTTTTACTTCATAAGAAAGTATCAGATTGTTGCCTTGGGGCATCCACAATCACAAAGGTACTGGCGGGCGGGTGTATATTTCGTTGCCTGGCAATATATGTTTGTTAAAGCAATGATGTGTATTTGCACTGTTCCATTTTAGTTTTTATTTCACTTAGAAAATAGCAGATTGCTGCCTTGAGGCATCCAGAATAATCTAGATTGATGAATGGGGCCTCTTATTCTGACGTAAATTAGAGAAATTTGATTTACCGTTGTGGCGTTAATGCACTGCAAAAACCCCATTGTTGTATTCCCAAATAAATGACAGCAAGGAAATGGAAAATTATATATTTCTTTAAATTATTTTTCTTGGCACATTTGAAAAAAAAATGATTTCCCTCTGTTAAGGAGGCTAAATGTAGCAACCTTATAAATGTTTCAGTGCATTTGCAGCAGACCGTTTCTGGATATCTGCAAATACAGAACTTGTGTTCCTTCTCAAATTCTGGTTACCTTTTTTAAACCCCTTTCCCTTACATTTCTGTCTACAATTTATTTCATAACTCGAATTATCACGATCTTAACATCGATAGGTTGTTCAAGCATTCCGCTTCTTAGGTCAAGATTTGGGAAATATTATTTGATGTGTTCGCAGCATACAAAGAAAACCTCAAGTCTCTTCATAGTTCTGAAAGATTTGAAAAAGTTACTCCTGTGATTTTGATTTTTACTATGAAATAGCTAGTCGGTTGCCTTTGTCGTGCAAGTTAAATCTATGATCAAACTGCCTGAATCTATTAAAAAGATTGATTATATTTTAAAACGAATATCATTCATTATGTTCTGTTTAATCAAACGTTAGTATGTTATTCGGTACGCGTATTCATTTTTAGGTCACTTGTACCTAAATAACAAATGGTAGCTGTTAAATAACATTTTTATTGCTTTGTTGGCGTATATGAAATATGATTAGTTATTTTTTAACGAGCTAAATGTTTCGTTGGCGCACTTAGACCAGTTAGAAGGCGTTTGGGACATATAGCAAAGTGATTTTACACCTCCTATTTGGGGTGAATTTTTTAAAAATTTTCATTCACATTTTTCCCAACGATCAGGACGTACTCAAAAATCTATTTAATTCGCTACCCTAAAACAAACGTAGTAATTACATAACCGAGATTCTTATCGTTCTATTGGATTTTTTAAATCGGTATGTTATTCTAGTTGCATTTGTGGTATCTCGTGTCACTGAGTGACAGGTTCTATATCTCCTATTTTCATTTATTAGTCTTTATAGCCTAATTGTTTGGTCCACGCTCCCTCCTGTTGAAACTCGAGATATCCAGAAATCTGAAACCCCCCCCCCCCCCCAGTCAAAGGAATACCTAATGTTGCAATGCTTCTAATCCCTTGGTCCAAAAGTAATAGATATAAAATGGGCTAAATCACTAATATTGGGGACCTAGAAATTGACACAAATGGGTCGCAACGCATATAATAATGTAATGTGAATGTATATAAACTGATTTACATTAATTCGTTTCCGTTTTTACTCTAATTTCAAATCTGTTATGTTCGGCGAAATACGCCATAAGTCTCAAATCGAATGGCAATCTCTAGCGTCTGGTTATTCCGGTCTGCACCGACAGTATTTACTGCGCATGCTCTGCAGATAAATATACAGCGTCAACGTCTGACATGACTTGTAGTCCATGTGACAGACATATTGCCATTACCAATTTGATGAATAAATGTCCAAAATTGTTTGATGGACTTTCAGGTCACTTTGCCAAACGTTAGTTTGGCGACCATCTTTAAAAGGGGCCGCCGTTTTTTTTTATTTGAAATAGGGCGAATCGGGGAAACCTCCACAACTCCTCAACAGGTTCACCTATGGATATGTAATATGTCTCAAAATGTTTATATTACAATTCTGCATCTGCTGGTATATGATACATGCTGTTTAATCAATACTATCAGTTTCAAAGTAAAAGACTATTCCGAAAATAGCAATATTTTCGGGGGGAGGGGGCATAATGACTGTTCATAAGTTTACTAACAAATCTTGTTCAGACCCATATTATAAGCCAAATTATCTCTTTGGTCAACTAAAGTGATTTACTAGATATCAAAAACATTGATCATAAAAAAAAAATAATCTCTAATATGTGTCCCAAATCCAAGATGGCGGAAATTCAAAATGGTGGCCCAAATTTGCTAAAATGGCCAATTTGTCAGATAATAGTCATTTCACTGTTTTATATGACATGTAATATCCAATTCAAAGGGTTTTCAGTGTTACTGAACTTAAAGTTGCAATTGCAAATTGCTAAGATAATTTGAAAAGCGTTTTCGACTAGGCATCAAAAAATTTCCTCTTTCGTTTTAGGCAGTCCTATGATTTAATAGGATCATCATTGTCGCTGCTGAAATCTCCTGTTTCTTCTTGTACTTTGGCTAGTGTCCATTGCTGATGAAAAACAGTATTTGCGATGGTCACAGTAATTCCAATGTATTTCAAATTATCTCTGTAATTATTATTTTTAAACTTAGAACTTGATGTGAAATACATTTTACACTTTGAACTTTCATAATTGACAAATATGAATCCATGATACCATCTGTCTAGATTCTAGATGATACCACAAAAGCTTGACAGACATAGTCTTCAAAGTAAAAACCTGTCACATTACTACCATATCTGGACCAGAAATGAAATGCAACGTGGGTTAATGTCCTGCTGTTCTAACTAGGTTAGTGAAGATGGCTATTCGCCATGCAGTGTGCTATGAGGAAAAATATGCCCAGAGAAAGGCGTTACGGCCTACTCTTATTTCAAATTGCAACTGTCAAGGGTTCTTTTATAAGCACGCCAACGTGTACATGGGAACTTTGTTTTTTGTACCATCCGAAAGACTAGACAGTTTCTTTTGAGGCACTCCTTGTTGCAGTCTGACAAGGGGAAACCACGCTAGGAAATCCTTAGGTACTTTCTCGGCAAACGCAGGGATCGGATTCTGGACCTCATTGAGTCTTACTCACTGAGCCACCATTTCGGCCCATTTCTGAACATACAGAATAGGTAATTTCTTAACAACTAGATATATTTGCAAATTTATATTAAAATTGCACACCGTTTTGCTGGAATGATATTAAATCTTGTTTTCTGATCTGCGAGATCAAGTATAATTCACTCCATCCTCCCCCAAAAACTACTACACTTTTTTTTATAATAAGCCAAGCCAAGAGAAAGATTGACGATTGTCCCGTTTTGTGCTTAAACAATCATCTACGATATCCAAAATCTATTTTTGATGTAATATTCAAGTTCAGTGATCCTGAAAACCTCATAAAGGACATATTACAAGCCATTTAAAACAGAAAAATGACGATTATCTGAAAAATCGTCCATTTTAGGAAAGATCTTGCCGCCATCTTGGATTATAGCCATCTTGGATTTCGGAAACTCTTTTTTAGAGGTTGCAATTAAGTTCAGTGAAACCGAAAACCCTTTAAATGGCATATTACAAGGCATATCAAACAGTAAAATGACGATTATCTGAAGCATCGACCATTTTAGGAAAATTTTGGCTGCCATTTTGAATTTTCGCCATCTCGGATTTTGGGAAGCTAATTTTAGAGATCAATTTTAAGTTCAATGCTTCCTATGATATATCACAAGCCTTACCTTGTGGGATACTCATCCATGCTAACAAGAAATTCATTTTTCGTCCAATTTTGGCGGCCATTTTACAATTTGATTGCGAACGTTTTAGGCCATATCAATAGGTCAATCGGTTGAGGAGTTATGAAGGTGTACCTGACGCGCTCAATTACAATGAAATAGCGGCGGCAAAAATGGCATTTAGCAAAGTGACGCGAAAGTCCATCAATCAAATTTGAACACTTCGGGCACCAGGCTAACTGAAAATCGTGGTTGAATTTATTCATCAAATTGGTAATGATACTCCAAAATCCGAGGTCTGTCACATGGACTATTGTGGAATATGCCTAGCATCGTTCTGCTGAGCCCCTTGTAACAAATGGCAGTGAAACACATTATGGTACACGATTCATGTAACAATGGTAAAAATGTTTATTTTTTCTGAAATATTGGATATTGAAAGCCCACCTTTTCCCGGTAAGATCACAACATCAATGTTGATTTAAATTGACAAATAATTCGTGTTTTCAATTGAGAGAGAGAGAGAGAGAGAGAGAGAGAGAGAGAAAGAGATGGGGTTTAACGTCCACTCAACACAAACTAGGTCATTTCGGGAGTAACATATGGTTCAATGATAGGCCCTCCGATATTGAGTTAGAGACTTAGCTCCTTTAATATAAAAAAAAACAGTTTTGTTTGGATAACGCATGTGGTATCTTTCGCCAACGGTACTCCTGTTTTGATAGACGATTTGCCATTGTAATATTAACTGAGAAATATTGGTTTGGAGGTTCGCCAGGACAGTTTTGTATGTCATCCTTGATAACTATACGTTTTATTATTGTTATTTGTTTGTTTTTTTAATATTACAGGTGTATTTACGTGTAGAATTGAAGATTTTGGTCACAGTCAAAATAAATCAGTAATTGTGGACGTCATAACATACCCTCATATCGAGGTGACCCCTTTAGCAATGAGTCTGGAAGCCGGGCAACAAGTAGGATTCAGATGTGTGACACCCGACGATACTAGACAGACGTTCCAATACACTTGGTTTAAAAATGGCGTTGAAATAGAGGCTGGCAATGGTGAAGAGATCATCGAAGACCTTCTGCCGGCCGGAAGTCGTTTGCTGGTTAGGCGTGTGACGTCAGACGCTAATTACACTTGTTATATTACCAATTCTGCAGGCACTAGCAACCTCACAGCTTATGTTTTTGTTTTACCAGGTAATTTGTGTTTTTATTATCATATAAGACGAAACCAAGTGATAAACCTGAGAACAGGGTGTTTCGAGCTATGAAAGCAGTCCAAATTTAATTGGGGGAAGGATATCATCGTAACCGGCGTCTTCATTCATTTTTGTATGAGCACTCTACAGATCCGAGGATCAGAGTTCTTGTCAGATTTGCTCAAATTTGTCATTGTGTCATAAGGGAAACCCCATTATGGAAAGGTGTGAAAGCTGTACTGGGTGTGGGAGTTCTTGATAAAAATTTAAAATGGTTATTTGGGATTTGCATTACGATATACGAAAGAATCTTGGCCACAATTCTGTAGATCTAAGGCCAACATTATTCAACGGTAAAATTGGGGGCGGGGAGGGGAATATAAATGCACATATAAATTACCTTTCTGTGTGTATACATGCATGTATGGGATACAGATTGTACACTCTCTGGAATTATTTAACCCGGTTTTATACAAAGTATCCCTTTAAAGAAGGCTGGTTATGTTAAGTATAGTTCGAGGTCTGTGCTTAGAAAAAGCATGAAACAGATATCCTATTATATAATCTTTCATCTTCTTCTCTGTTAAATACTAGATTTCTTAATTAAACATTTAATTAAAATCAGAAATTGCTTTATGGATTATGTGGCTGTTTGTGTAGGCAACGCGGTAATAGACTGAACACGTCTTAATTAATTTTCTTTAAGAAGACAAATCTTAAAAGAAACTAATTCCGTTCGAGTTTGGGTGATATTTTGCATACATATAGGTATATTGTCTTTTCGATGTAGTGAATTATTTTACCTGTGTAGGTGAAAATAAAGACGTATTTGATTAGTCCCGAGAATGTTTTTTGATACGCCCACATTTTCATGTGGACGTATTATGCCGTCGCCCCTGTCCTTCCGTGCGTCCGTCCGTCCATAATTTGTTTGTGGACAACCCACAGGTCACAATATTTATCCGATTCTGACGAAACTTGAAATATAGGTCTATCTCCTTTCGATATTGGCATGTATCGGACTATAATTTCATGCATTATGGCCACTGATTGTATGAGAAATCACATGTTTAGCTTGTGGACACTCTAGAGGTCACAATTTTCATCCAATTTTGATGAAACTTGAAATGCATGTTAATAACCCAACGATTTTGGTTCCTGTCGATATTACAAAAGATACAAAACACTGCCGCTCGGATTGTATCTCGTGCTCCACAAACATCACCGATATTAAACTCTTTACACTGGCTGCGAATACAGGAAAGGATTGATTTCAAGATTCTCTCACTGACCTATCAGTGTGTCAATAACTCAGCACCATCTTATTTAACTGAACTATGTCAAAGTTACGAGCCTTCCCGGTGTTTACGCTCATATGACAAAAGCAAAAGCTTTTAGTTTTCTTGCTCCATCAAAATGGAACGATCTTCCAGTGTTCATCAAAAGTTCTCATTCCTTTGAGTGTTTCAAATCCAGACTTAAAACATACCTATTTCAACGTTATATTTAATTTAAAATAATGTGAAGAAAGTGCATAAAGCATACTTTAAGTGTAGAATTCGACACTATACAAATGTTCATACAAATGATTGGTTGGCCTTTTTTACTAATTGCATTTTTACTTTGAAACGGAACACTGAAAAAAAATCATTTAAATACAACGTATTGCGATGTAAAGACACCGAGATGCGTAAAGAGAATTGTAAAATGAAATGAAATGAAATGGGGTTTAATGAAGACTTGCATACACCATATAGTGTGCTATGAGGGACATTTTGACCGGGCTGCGGCACTATGGCCTACTCTTACATCGAATTCCATCTGCCAAGGGACCTTTTACGTGCACGCCAATGTATACACGGGACAAGAGAATTGTAAAAGATTGATTAATTATATATGTACAGCAAAACAAATATGGATATGAATGGTATAAACATTTATTTCGTGTGAGTCCAAATTATTGGGCGATCGCCATTACTGACGTGGCATTATCCTACTACAAATTATTTGAGTTCTCATGGCCCTAAATAGAATATGTAATAATATCCTATTACAGCTCTCAAATCATTGACTTCAAATTGTTTTTTAATATGGACTTCAATATGACTTCCAAGTTGTGGTTTTAATAGTAACAACTCGGGAAACTCGTGTTGTTTTAAATGCGGGCTTATATAGCAAAATACATCGCAAAAAACTATAAGATATCATCCGTTGTTTTGCGCTTTACAACATTAAAATTTTTAAGAGTATATTTAATTTTTCTCATACTTAACCTGAATTAATAACATTGCTTTATATTTTTAATTACCTGTAAGCATCTCCCTTTAAAATACTAGACCATGGCCAGCCTCCCTTATCATAGGTGGCGTGCTTGTTGCTATCGGAAGTAACTATATCTCCATTCTTTTCTCAAATAATAATGAAAGCTAGCGGGGAGCGGGTATTCATTCATGTAAGTATAAGGAAAATTAAATTTCCTCTTAAATGCTTGAGCATTGTCGGTCCATTTGGAAGAACTATTGGAAAATCGAAGAAAAGATAAACCAACAGAGCTATCCAGAGACGGTTCGGCCAACAGTGTGCTACTAATAGAACCCTAAGTGCACTCTGCCAATCTCACCTTTTCCAATACCCTTGGAATTAGAGCAAACGGGGGAAAAAGCATAACCGTACAGGCCAGGCCGTTCCAATTCAAAGTTAACGAATCGACCGCCTTACATTGAGAACAAGGGGAGACATAAGTTGGAAGTTGCGACGTGAAGAGACCTCTGTGCAACTGTCCAAATTCCCTGTATACGCTCAACCCAAGAGGCGTGAGGGAAGCTCCCCACACCAGACTGCTTTAATCAGCAGACAGGGTGAACATCTGTGGGTTCGGAAGAAACGACACATCCGATCGAAGCCAAGCCAGGGCTAACTACTTCCGGCTGCAATGGTCTTTGAAAACCGAACGAATTATTTTGTCTACAAGATGAATGGACGGTCTCCACTGACTTCGCAGAAGACATTGAAGAGGGCGCATGAACAGTTGCTCTAAAACACCGAGTTGAGTTTCCATAGCAACCGAAGAAAAGTTCTGGCTTTCCGGCGATCTGCGATTAAATAGGTATTCAAAATGCGAAGGAGCCTTTTTATGCGAAATAGACTCTATGCCGATTGTTGTTTGAAAAGTCAAACCTAGATGCGTGAAAACCGAAGTCGGAATCAAATCCGTCTTTTCGAGGTTGGTCGGTGGAAGAGTTTGAGAAAGTCTATCCCTGCTGTTTGTAAAATCGAGGGATTGCGATGTTTTAGGAGAGTCATCCAGATACGCCGAGGAATAGGCCCCGGTTGTCAGTCGCTGTATCTTCATTACCTGCGTAAAAACGACAGGCCTGAACGATATGCCGAATGGAAGGAATAAATTGGTAAACTTTGTTGTTGTAGCCGAACCTCGGGTACTTTCTTGAAGATTGGTGAATCGGCCCGTGAATGTAAGCGTCTCGAAGATCTATAGATACTGCGTAATTGCCTACCTTCATGTCCTGAATTAACTGATTTACCGTACACATCCGAAAAGTCTAAAACCGGTCTTAACTTTCCGTTTTTCTTTTTCATCAGAAACAATTTTGAATAAAACCCCTTAGAGGAAAGGTTTGAACCCCCCCCCCCCCCACTGTACCCTTTGCTAGAACAGAATATTTCCTCCTCAAAAATCTGTCTTTGCTCCGGCAATGTGGGAGCTTTGGTAAACGATGGTGTGGTCGATAAAGGGGGACTTTCACCCATTGAAGGAGAGTATTGTCGAGTAGTGTGTAAGACCATTCTTCTGAAAAAAAGACGAGGTCTTCCACCTACCGGACGATTCACGAGAGGCAAACCACTAGCGGCCCCTACGAGCACGAAGGGGCTGTCGGTTGGAATCCCTGCCTCGAGCGGACCTACCCCTTTGAGTGTTGCTTTTCCTAAAGGTTCGAATATCCCTTACAGAAACCATCAATCAAACCCGGAGGGTTGCGTTGACCTGCTTGAGGAGAGGAGGCATCATCGCATCCGAATTATGAGGCTGCGCCTGAAAACTAAAAAAACGACGTCTAGCCGCAATAATGTGATCTGCCGATTCCTTAATTGCACCATTAAACAGAGCTTCTGAATTTAGAGGCTGGGACAGAAGAGGAGACACGGGCTCTACGTTATTAGAAATGCGTTCCTTGGACAATCAAAAGTTTCTCCTCATTAAGTCAAGGTTTGAGGGCGCTTTCACCAAAAGGTCAGCGGAATCGGCTACATATCTGGACAAAGCAATAAAAAGATTCACATCAGACTTTTTATGAGAAGGGACGTCAGCACTGACACCCGGAAATTAGTGGCCAAAGCCCTAATTAACCAATCCTCTTAAGAAATAGTAATAGAAGCATTGGACTTTTAACACCTAATTGACATAGAAGTCATTGGGATCGGAATTTAAAGACTCCCTGTCTTTACCGACAGAAGAGCGTGGCGAAGTAGGCCCCGAAACCTGTTGTGACATATCAACGACAGTTGCGGCAAAATGCTCAGCCCGAAAAAAAGACAACCAAGATCGTCTCGAGCTAATAGATTCAACATCTGGCACAATGTCGTTCGGTTGCAACATCAATAAAAGAGGCTAAGGACCGATTATTGCTGGCTAATTGTACATCAGTAGACGACGGTGTGCCCTGATTAACAACCGGAGAATTTCCCAAACGAACAGAAGACACCTGACCCACATCAGCAGTCTTCTGTGTAGACCTCCCTTTCCCAAAGGATTTCCCATCCTTGTCGGCTTTTATTATTGCAAATTTTAACTAATTTGGGCGTAAAAGATGTCATGTCGACAGACCTTATCTTCTTCGTTGATGGCGAAACTGGCAGAATACAACCATGTGTAGAAATCGATAAATATCGTCATCGTGATGAGGCCTTTTGTGCCCAACCTGAGCAACCGATAACCATTGGCCCTCTGACCATGTTCTACATAATTCACAAGTATTCTCGAAAGAAATGAAATGAAATGAATGACATGAAATGGGGGTTAACGTCCGACTGGGCTAATGAGGACGGGCATACGCCATGTGCTATGAAGGAAATTTTGCCCGAGCAGCGGCACTATGCCCTACTCTTATATCGAATTCCAACTGCCAAGGGGTCTTTTACTGCATGCCTATGTATACACAGGACCTCGTGTTTTCGTCCCATCCGAACGACTAGACAGCTGTCCTTGTCATGCCCTCCGTCCTGCACCACTGACAAGGAGAAACAACGTCGGAAAATTTATCGAAAAAACATTTCGTACAAAAACGCAAGATAAGTGTGTGTCGGCAGATGCCTTCCGTCGATCACACACTGAACATACTAGTACGATATCTAACAGCTATACGACAAATTCCTGTACAATTTAATTAACAAGCGTGGGAGGAAAGGAGTCACGTGACAATGCATGCTCGCCACATAAACAAAAAAAAAACACTTTTAAATAAAAGAAATACACGTATAAATCAACTCAAATGAATGAGAAAATAACAGAATAAACAAAAGATAAACTCTCAATTCAAAGATCGGCTTTGATTGCACTCGATTTTAAAGTTTTTACGGGATGACTGTAAGAAAAAGAATGATGATTTAGTATGACGATATAGTTACCTATGATAGGGGACTAGCCATGGTCTAATATTTTCATTTTGAAAGGGATAGTCTTACAGGTAATTAAGAATTTAAAGCAATATTATTCATTAATCAGGCAATCTGATTAAAACACAGACGAGACCCCCCCCCCCCCTTCCCAGAACATCTGATCAGATCTTCATGTAGTGTAGGTCATCGAAAGTATAAAAAAAAACGAAACGAAATATAGATCTGTATTTTAATCAGATTATTAATCAGGTAAGGTTGACAGAATGAATTGACTTACCTGAAAAACCTACTTGAGAGCCCATAATGATAATCGTATTATCATTTTATCCAGCGCGGTTATCTCTATAAAGAGAGTTATAAGCTACTCAAAGATATATCTCATCTTCTAAAATCGTGTTATCTGTTTAGAAAGGTATTTGCATTTGATTAAATGCAGAGCTTGAGCTTGACATTTCTAGACAAAAACAAACTTCAACGGTTTGGGTTTTCTTTGTTTTGTTTTTTTTTGTGATGGTTGCGGGGGGGGGGGGGGGGGCTCCCCAACTTTATTGATATTTGTAATAGATTTTTAAGGCTTGTATCCAAATGTGAAAGTGTGTTTTTAAATTGTTTAGGCAATCAAACTAACCAGGTTTGTCCGTCTGAAAAATTTGGAGGAGTGAAATGGAAGAGCATGGGAGCCGGCGATTTTGATATTGAAAGATGCCCAACGGATACAGGGGGTTCGTACTTTTAAATTGCTATTTTATTTAACGTTTTGTCGTGTAGGATAGAGTATTTAAATGTGTGCTTACTTTTTTGTAGCTTATTTAATGTGTATTTTGCATAGAAACAACTTTGCGGAATATATTTATGTATGCCTGTATAAATCTTAAACTTCACATTATTTCCTAAATTCATATTAGCGTGGTAGTGTTTAACCTTCGATGTTATTAATATCAAGCCAGAAATATCCCCCTTTATAAACCTTATGAATTTTAATAGAAAACGACAATCATTATGCGAGTTCCTGTTGATAAAAAGAGGTCAGTATTGGTGATTATCAATTAAATATCGACGATAATAAGTTACGGGTCATGATGGCCTAATAACAACCAGTCAAGAAATCATGATAAGGAAACCTACCGGCTAACGGCTAGGGTAGCCAAATATATTTGAAAGGTTTTTTTTATTGTAAATCAAAGACGACAGAATATCGGAGATCGAGATGATTCAGTAGGCCTACAATACTGCTAAACAAGAGACAACTTTCTGATGACCAACTGAAGATTCTAGATGTTCATTGCTTTGCGTGAAAGATATTGTTTAATCGGCGTCGTATTTGCCCGATATAATGGATGACTGACACGCTCACTCACATATTAATTTAGTAATTCGAATACATTTGTCCCTCAGGGATAAAGAACAGGCTAGTCATTCAGTCACTCCGCCCCCTCCCCAATATCCGTGGCTTTTCGAATTTTATGTTTATATTGCAGTGTATATCCTGGCCATCGTGCACATACTTTTACAATAGATTTTCCATTCCCTCTGTCAAACCATCCCGTTTATAATACCTCCTGCCTGGCGCTATTGAAATATTTCACTTATACCATGCATGCTAATGACTGCACGATACATCAGAATGAATTTTCTTACTAATTGACACTTAAATATATATAATCGCGGGTCATAATTTAGTGTGACATTATTTACCTATTCGCGATTGATTACTGGCGTAGCAATCACCACCACGGCAAAATACAGCGCCCTTTTAAAATATATCATCAAAATTGGTTTGGAAATAAAAACCTGTGTTTTTGCAACAACTGGGTAAATGAAGACGGGACCGAACAGAAGGGTTTCGAATTTCAACTGTCAAATCTTCTTTTGCGAGAACCCGAAAAGATCAATCTAAGCCAACCAACGTTGTAATGGTACCATATTAGACATAGGATGAGTTTCGCGAAATGCACATGGAATGGCGGAATAAAATGGGTCTAACATCTAATTGTCTTCTAATGTAAACGGACTAACATGAGTGTGCTACAAAAAAGATTTTGCTCAGGTCAGCTCCATTTCTAACTGCGCTACCTTATACACCTACCATACACGGGACCATCCAAACTACAAGACGATTTGTTGACTGTATTTCAAAACCCTTGTCCACCCCACATTACCACCCGATTAGATTTTATTACATACTTCGAGTAGGTATTTGTTGAGTAATAAAACCTTCTAGTAGTTTATCGAGGGCTGGCCGTCCTTACCGCACGGTACAAATATTATCACCACTAGAAGCAACAAATTCCAGAACAAGCCAGAACTCAAACCAAAATGGCCGCTCTATACAAATGAGTATTTAGGGGAATACTAACCCTAACCCTTTTAAGAGAAGTAAAAACTAAATTAGACCCAAGTTCAGTCTTTTAAAAAGGGTTAGGGTTAGGGTTCGGGTTAGTTATCCCCAAAATTCTCATTTATATAAAGCGGCCATTTTGGACTCCGGAAGCACCCGAACCTCGATAAACTACTAAAAGGTTTTATTTGTACCGTGCGGTAAGAACGGCCAGCCCTCGATAAACTACTAGAAGGTTTTATTACTCAACAAATACCTTCTCGAAGTATGTAATAAAATCTAATCGGGTGACATTACAGAGAACTGTTTATTATGTGTCATTTGTTTCACAAATCGTAACTGTGGTTAAGCATTGGGTAATTTCCACACGCATTGAAAACCGTGAAAAAGAACCAATGATGTCAATGTTCCTCGTCCGTGTTCACGTTGAAATAATTTTAATTACTTAAACGTGATTTCACTTATGTAAGGACTATCAAAATTTATTTAATAATAAAAATTAAAACAAGATTGTTTAAATAACATTTGTTTTGCTATGGAAAATATATCCCAACAAACACACTACGTATTTGCATCGTCGAAGATACGTTATATTGTTCGGGGTGGGGATTAAATGAAACTCTGTGCAACCTACGATTATAATTATTATTACACTTCTCTGTAATTATATAACTTTAAAATAATGCACAATATGTTTTTGCCGACTAGCTTATATTCATATTAATTTTATTCACAATTTCTTCTCATTTTTTGATGAATTGCTTTGATATATAGATGATTAACAGACTTTCATTGAACTTTGTTTTGCTATCGTTTGTTTTTTTATTTTTTTTAAATATTTTGATCATTTTTGTAACTTTGGTTTTTTTTTCGTTTTATTCTCTGTCTCACGTTTTTGTTTGTTTCAATTGATGTGGGTTTAGCTGGGGGTATTAATTGAAATTAGATAATATCTTATCAGTATACCTAGTCTTATATTATATCAAAATTAAATAAAGTGGTATACTTGTAGAAAATACATTTTATAGACTAATGCTTACTAATTCGTAAATGTAGACGATTGAGTAGCATTTTAAATATTCTAGAGAAATAAACAATTATTGGAAAGTGTTGTAAAATCAGTCGGTTTTGGTGGGGTAGGGGTGGGGTTGGGGTGGGTGGGGTGTCTTAATAGAAGCGTAGGCTAAATTTAAATATCAAATTTCCAAGTTTTAATTTTTTTATTGGCATCATTTTGTTGGTTTTTTTCTGGGGGTTGCGGTTGGGGGGGGGGGGCGGTGGGGTTGTTGGTTTTTGGGGGTTTTTTTGTTTTTGTTTCGCACATGTTTCGCACATTTTCAACCACATGCACTTAGAATGCATTTATAGAATTGTTTGTCCCCCTCCTCTATTTCAGAAGTAATTGTGCTTCGCGATGCCAGGGATGGTAAGTGTCACTGCCTTGCTAGAGTGAAAAAGGCGGGGCAACACCGAGTGAATCCAACACTTGTAAACTTAACATTAGATGTGTGTGTGATAAGAGATCTGTCATTTTCTAAATGAATATATTTACAAGCCTAAAAGTACACATTTTCTGTTTAGAATTTAATTCCAAGAGATCAGATGGAGCAATTGTATCAAACCCAGACAATACAGGTGTTTTTCCAAATTTGTAAATTATTGTATAGAGATGTAAAAAAGAAATTAATTTTGGAATATTTCTAATCTGACAAATCTCTTCCATCTATCCTTATATAATAATCTATTATTTCCAGCTAGCCAATTTCGTTCTTTCTTTTTTTTCAAAAGATCATCATTGGTAACGAGAAATACTTTCAGTGACGATGATATGTAAACATCTTGAAATTAAACTGGATTTAAGTATTTCCAACCCAATCTTAGACAGTTTTTTCTCCCTACCGTACGATTTCGCTTTGGTTCATATATATTTCCAAGTATGGAACCAATGTTTATCCTTATAATTCAACGTTTTCATTTAAAAAAAACAATTTAGTTATTATTGGTGATCTTTTGGTCCCTGAGAACTGCCAGGGAAGAAATTACTGATTACCATTTATTTCAACATTGGGTAGGTCATGTTTCGTGTTAAATGCCAGTGTTAGTGTTAATTTGATTGCAGACAAAATTCTCACCTTTGTCCTCCGTTAAGTATTGTTGTCAACTACAACAATAGATTGTTAGGCCGGTTTTGGTTTTATTCAAACTAAAGAAGGGTCGGGGCATAGGACTGGACATCGCGTTAGTTTTTTGTAGAGCCAATCTGTACTTTAATATATGAGTATTTATTCGCAAGTATATTTCAAATATCGTCAAACTCTTAATATCATAATTGTTTTCAATAGGGTTTGAGAGGAAATCTATTGGGCTTGGTATGATTAACTGTATGTACAAGAAAACTAAGACTAACATCGATATCAGACACAAAACTGTACCCAATGACCTTTGATTGCATATGTTTCTCTCCTATTGAGACTCTCGGGTTCTAATTCCATTCTGTGTTTTTCTCCAATAAAAAAGATGTCTTTCTAAACTTGATCTGCATTCACCAACAGCAATATTTGTTTCACTTGTATTAATACTTTACAACATACTTTGTTTGATATTACACAAGGTAAATCATATTTGAAAGCTACTTTTTATTAATAAGTAACGCTGTTCAAAACAAGAAGGCAATTGTGAAATTTAAAGAGCATACAAAATGACCATACTAGAAGTATATGTAATTAAAGCTAGTGTTCATTATATACAATTACAACAATTTAATTAAAATCCCTTCATGGTTACAATAAGGTTTACCTGACTTACGTTTCAATTGAATGTCGGGCGGGCTAACGTTGCGAAAAGGCGCAGGGTTTTGAAAACGAACTTAATGGGTTGAAGCCCAGTGCAGCTTGGTTCATTTCCTATTAACGTTTAATTTACGAATTCTATACGATAGGTTGGGAATAAGTAGTGATTTGTTTAAAGATTCAAATGTTAATTGGAACCATCAATCAATCGGATTAAGGTCGTAATCGAAAAACTGAAAAGTGTTTTAGAGCGTCTGACATATAAACGGCAATATATCAAATAATTTTATTCAGATTGGTGTGGAATTGTTGTAAAGTGTATATAGGAAACACTAACATTAAGTACATATAATTTTGTTTTATCATTTGATGTGCTCTTTAAGATGTTAACTTATGACCAATCTTCGTTACTGTGTTGCTTTAGAAATTCAAGTTTAGAAAGATACTAGATCATGTAGTATAGATTAGATTAGTTGGTAATTTTAATTGCCAGATTAGAAGTGGGGTGTGTGGTTCTTTGAATTATTATAATATGTTCCTTTCTCATGGTAACATAAAGAAATAGAAGAACATATCGCCATCAATTAACACTAATATTTTGATGCCACCAATGAATTTAAGGTCTCCATTTTCGTTTCAGATTAAATATGCCCATTAGCGGCATGTCTCTTTATGTTTTATTACAATATCATTATCGTATCGCAAAGTTCCTTAATCTTACATTGTTTACCTTATCTTTTCTTATTATTAGTTTATAAACGTTTCTTTAACATTGGCTACACAATAGATTTACCAGCGTGTCGTTGCTTTGGTCAGCAACAAATATTTTGATGGGGAAAATGGTCAGGCAATGTGACTAATCGGCAAAGTTTATTAAGTGGATGCTCAATGCATTGCATGCATGAAAACCTTTATGCCAATAATTATTTTAATTGATAGAGGTGCGACTTAAAAATACGCTTTTAACTAAAACCATTAAATACACAAAATCACAATAGCCTAGTGAAAACTTAGCTTTGTTTTAAGGTGATTTATGAGACAGACATAGACATCAATAGCTAGTTTAGAAGTATACGTACCGGATATAAATAACATAAACTTATACACACTCTTGGGGAGGGGGGGGGGCTATAATAATTATAGTACACCGTAATAATTAAGATACAAAGATGCACACGATTGTGATGTTAACACAAGCACTAACGATAGACTAAATCTACTAATCGATAATGTACATTATTTAATAACATACTTTAATTATTAGTGATTGCATCATCTGCAGGTGCTTCAAATATTATTTGATTACAGGTAAAGATCTATTATACAGTTTACATATTAAACGAGAAAACACCTCAAATATGATTAGCACCTGTAAACTACATTAGATACCCAAATGGTTGTGTTATCAATAATGGGTTTTGTTCTTTTGTAGTTTATCGTTTAATTTGTAAGACGTATAAAGAATCTTAGCCGCCAATCAAATTTGAACCACCAGCAGTGGTATTATTTTTGACTTCAGCAAATACTGAAATCTAAAAGTACAGATTCTTACTGAAACAGTGGATATATAATCATAAGTCTGTTGCATGTAGTTAATTGTAGATATAGACTTTTGTTTTCCATTGTAATAAACTTAATCTGCATAGTTAAAATTTGTCTTAAACTAGTTATCATCCTTATCATTTGGTTAAAAATATAATATGTTTTAGATTTTATTAACTGTGTTGTATTTTATTCAAAAAACCCATTTAACACCTTACCCACCTCCTCAAAATAAAGAATGACATTTTGTGATGCTACTTTAATGAATGGCTTTTGTCACATCGCACCTTAATGCCGAGCCATGGGTCGACAACTATATTATAGAGAGTGGAATTTAGAATAGACAAGTAAGTTATATCTCATATTTTGCAGGGTATGCTAGAAGACGGTGTGATTGTTGGGCGGGAACTTGTAAATGGGCTGAACCTAATTTCGCTAAGTGTCAATCTGGACATTTAGTTGTTATATATGACAGAGTAAGTAAATTTTCTTAAAAGCCACTCCCCAGTTTTCACAGCTTTGCCAAAATATACATTCATTGCTAGAATGCAAATAAGTCTTCAAAATTGGAAGTAATAACCTTTTGTACTGTATCGGAAATTTTCAGTTCATAAGTTGAACTGTTTGGAAAATATCGCCGAAATTCAGGACTATATGATACTGTTGATCAAATCGCAGCATCGGGCCAAACAGCACAATACAATGAAAGTATAGCGGTAAACTGTCAATCTGAGTTACAAATGGCCCATTGAGGCGCAAGGTTATTGCTAGTCAAATGCACCTGTCAACTAGTCGTTGATATGTCTTTGAAATCGTATCGCTAAGACTTAGTTTATTTCCAAACATAATTCTTTTCACTGAAGTCATTAATACTTATTAGTCTTTCGTCGCTCAGACATTTTTTAAAAGCATTTATCATCATTATCCAAAGGTCATAAATAACCACCTTCTACTCCCACGTCTTGAATTAAGAAATGAAAACACGAATTTGAAATGCTTGAATTGATATTGTTAAGTATGTCGTCTAATATGAATTTTATCAAAGCTTGTTAATGATCCAAGTATGGGGAGACTCCAATTTGGTCTACACTTTTATGTAATATTATATTTTGCGTTAGATATTTGGTGGAGATCCATAAAATAATTATTTTGATTTTGTTTTGTTTCAGCTTGAGAAACTACGACTTGGTTATCAGCATGATAATACATCAGATATATTTGATACGCTATATAAATTTATTAATATAGCTAGTAAGAAAATGTTAGCTGGAGATGTAGATGTTAGCTGTTCAATATTACATACATTTGTTGAGACCCTATTACAACATCCGGTACATGCGCCGACCACGGGCTCTTTTTCTTTTAAGGTGTGTAATAAATCATGAAAGCGAAAAGACGCTAATATAACACTATAAAGTATATTAGAATAAATATTGATACTTATGCATGTCCTTTCTGTCGATAAAACTGAGATTGATCTTATTGCTTCAGGTATTAATTTTATTCACGGGACCAGTGGCGTATTTAATTGCCATTTAAGTGATTCTATTAATTCTTTTTCATCTTCCCATTTCGGAAACTCTGCAGAAAATCTACAGACCTCCGCTTCATCTTCGTCCTTTTGTGTTACCATAGACATTTTTTATACTAGCAGAACACAATTTTTACTGGAAACAATAACTTGTTTTATTTTAAAAGCACGACGTTTCGACAAGTATCATTATGCTTGATAACGATAAGCGGACACTTGTCAATACGCCCTTTAAGAGTAGAACCAGTGATTGTTTCCCATACAAATTCTGAAAAATATTTCCCAATCGCTAAATGTCACGTAAAGATTATGTTTTATACAGATGTGATTTGAGCAATTTAAAGTATAACAAGTCAATGATCGACAGAAAGACAGTATGACGCATTACATTCCGTTACCGATCTATCTAGTAGCCTTTTCAATGCTATCTACGTAAATTAAAATTGACTATCTTAAATGGATATTCAGAAAATTCCTACTACCATATTCTTTTATTCATCACCATCTCACCGAGCGTGTGCCCTAATGAGGCATTGGCCATCTTGTTATCTTGTACCGAAATGCCCAAGGGTTTTCATTATCTGTGTTAGAATTACAGAATTCTTCTCATAAATATTTTATTTGACGTAGTCTGTCATATTTGAATTTCTATTTAACTGATTTATATTTCAGTCTCTGATAAATGTGATGTATTTATTGTTACAACAAGCCATCGATTCCAATATACAGGAACAAAAGGTAAACATGGTTCATATATTTGACTTGAAGTTTAATTGTAAAGAACATAGGGTAACATTTTGGGGGTATTGGTGCGTTTTATATTTAATAAAATTTATCGACAAAGGCTGTTGTAAAGCATCAATGATTTCTGCATCATAGTATGTGGGGTTGAAGATGATGTTTATTCAATTAATTCATCCCAGTTCAGGCTGTTAATCTGTAACTGCCGAAGGGAGCCACGGTGGCCAAGTGAGTAATACGCTGGCTAGCTAGTCCGGAGGTCGCGGGTTCGTTCCTGGTGTTTGGCTGGGAAAGTTCATCGAGATTATCCGGCGTGGTGTCCAAAATCTCCGCCATAGCACACTGTATAGCGCATGTCCGTCTTCATTAGCCCAAACATGGCGTTAAACCCCATTTCATTTCATTTCATGTAACAGCTGATTATGTTTAGAAATTCCTTGCATGGTCTTTTTATCAGCCGATGTTATAATAAGCTTCCGAGAAACCGTCCTTAGTGCCCCATACCAGACTACGAGTGTTGACAATATTTAAAATTACTACAGACAGTTATTATAATGTAACTTGAATTATGTTTTGTTCTTACATTATTGACAGGATCTCTATGTAGCTCAAAAACTTCTGGATATTACATTTATGTTGAGTAAAACAACAATCCCGTCTTTAAAACTAACATATGGTGACTTTATGACCACGCCTACACTAGGTAAGTATGATATAAAGAAGAATGCCTTTTAACGGATGATAAAATACGAATACGCGGGAACTGATTCAGCTACTTTAATTATAATTTATTTTGTATTTTACTTCAATATACTATTTTGTTTTGGTGTCTTTGTGGACTTTAGCATCGACTTAACTTCAGAGGACAGATATTTCGCTTGAAAAAAGAAATTCAATTGAAGACCTCAATAATCGAAAGAGCTTGAATAATGTCAAATTTAGAAAACCAAATAATTATGGGACTGGGTAACATTTTTATTTCTGGAAAACTTTATAATGGAGTAAATTCAATGTTGATCGATTAAAAGGTTGCACTGAATATAAGACACGCGGTTATTTCTACGTTGAAAATAAAACAAAAAAAGCAGACTACCTGTCACTTATCTATTTTTTGGAATGTACTTGGAAATTGGGTAGAATTGGGGTTTTGTAAATTTAATATTGTATCCTATTTGACACCGCTTTAACTTCTTATTTAACTAGCAAGTTTGTTGCACCTTTGTATTGTTTTTATACAGGGTTTAGCGTCAGCAATTTATCTGTTATACCCGCTTATATGAAGCCTACTATCACCCCTAATACCTACAAGATACAGACATATTCTGAAGTTCCTGTTAGAGCCCGATCTAAACGTGATTATCCGGTGAAGACGAATGGCGGTATCTATGATAAAAGTATGTATGTTTGTACTACTGGATAATGTTAAATAATTAACAATTGTGATAGATCGTTAGCGCGAATTCTATTCTAGAAAATAATGTTCGGCAATATGCAATGGCAAATTTTGTATGGATTCAGAAAATTGTGGACACTAATTGTGCCTATAGAGGCTATGGTTGATATCTAAAGCCCAAAGCTATGTACACACCAGCCACAATATTATTGCGGTAGTAAACTGTGTCTGGAGTAAAATGGAAGACATCAGTAGTAGAACTATTTCTATGTACATACAAGTTTATAATTCGATCCATTTATCTTGACTGGTATTCTCCGTATCCAGAAAAATCCATTTCGTCATTTTAAAGAGTGGATTATTATTATTTTATTATTAGCCTTAAAGAACAATATTGCCTTTTTTCAGTTTTAACTAATGGCAATTTATCATATCACGCCAGTATAGTGAAAAAAGAAAAGTTAACCGTGAAATTTTATTTTAAACAAATGTTTTCATTGATGAAACGAGACACTTCCAAAAACGAGTAAGTAAACTCCATCCTATTATATAGTTGCTCTTCTGGAGACCTTTCGCTCTGGTAGTAAGTGCCGAATATTAACTCTGGTTTCCTTACCTTTACGTACAAGCACTTCTGCCGATAGTTATATGTATATCTGTTTAGAATTAAATTTTTCTTGCAAAAGGGTCTTATTTTTGGAGGGGGGGGGGGTGGATGGCCGAATGGTTAGCACGTGCGCGCTGTATCATACGACCTGTCATTTAGTCAACTGGCGTGGGTTGTACGTGACAATTAGTAGGGTCGCCTGTCCAACCTCGTGGGTTTTCTGCAGGTCCTCCGGTTTCCTCCCACTGCTAAAGACCCTACGCGCAAGCGAATTATTGAAATAAAATTAAAACCATATTGTTAGTCCCGAAATGACCTAGTTTGTGTCGAGTGGACGTTAACTCTCTCTCTCTCTCTCTCTCTCTCTCTCTCTCTCTCTCTCTCTCTCTCTATTTTTGGATGCTACAGTCACCTCATATTTCCTATTACAACTTTAAATTGTTCTTTTACGTGTACGAATAGACATGGTTAATTGCCCAACCCTCCGTCCTGCACCTCGCCGGAAAGTTCGAGGAACTTTCTCGGCCAACAACAAGAGCTATCCTGATACCTTCCGGCTAGTGAGCCCCGCTCACTGAGCCACCGCCAAATTCGTAATAGATACATAAATATAAAATAATGTTCCTGTAATAAAGCATAATAAATCTATAGGCCTATTCGATATTGGTTTATGAAATTATCAGTTATTTTTATTAATTTTATTACCAATGTTCTGTAATGTTGTTTCAGTGCTTATGTGGCTGTTAGCGATATGTTTTCTATATATTTATTAAATGATATGGATAGTCTAGAAGAGAGATTAGAAATAAACCTTCAACATAATATCAATGTAAGTATAAAGGCCATGGAATGACTTGGTTAAATTCTATACATAGTTGTTCCCGTTTATGTTTAACTGTCACTATCTTTAAATAATTTACCGTAATAGAGTTTCTTCTGAAAAGCCAATATTTAAGATGGTATAAAGTATACACAGTACATAATACAGAATGCCATTGACCGTCTCATTAGTTGGTATTGTAAATCGCGGAGATCATGAAAAGTTTGATTTTTTCCTTTTTCATTTAGATATGTAATATTGTCAGATACCAATTTGACAGTTTTAAAACAATGTGTCAATGTATAAAAGAACCAAATAGTAGTTGGGTTTATAGATGTCAATAGAATGCCATACTGTGTATTTCAGTAGAATGCCATGTTGTGTATTCTTTCGGTAGCCTATATTAATGTCATCTTTCATTTGTTATGTCCCTTGTGCTCTGTGTCTAATTGGGGTAGAATGATCGAACTCTGTATATATGTTTGTGAGGTGAATCTCTTAACTAAGTTTGATAATAAGCATTTCTTTCTGAAGCTAAGCAATTGTCCGTCTGTCCGTCAAACCCTTTGGAACACAATAACTCTGCTCCTAAATGAAGCCTCTGCGTACTTGTGTAGATGTCCGTGAGGTACATGTCTTGATCCAGTACGATGATAAACAATTTCTGGTTAGGCAGAGCAGAGATAAACAACTTTATTTGTCGAATAAAACTGGGTGAGAATGATGAAACTTGGTGTAGAGTTTTATCACACCAAGTTCGATAATGAACATATTCTGCTCGGGTTAAAGCAGGATAACAAGTGATAAAGCATCAATACCAACTTCCTTAACGAAAATTTTCTGCACAGGTTGCATAGAGTGATAGGTAATTTGATAGCTGGTTGCTTTATACAAAGATAAATGTACATAATGAGTGTCCTCTATTTTTGGATTTTGACTGTTGTAATAGTTGTTGTAAATACCAGGGATTGAATATAGCTTCTATAAGAAAATATAATATAATATCCACCTCTTTTGATCGGGTTTAGGTGTTTGTGTGGTTATGTAACATGCTAATTACAAAAAGACAGTAGGATAAAAGAGAGAGTATATTTTCATTACATCATTTCATCTGGTTTGGATTATTAAAGGTTCGGCTAATTACGATGTTTTCAATTTGTTCAGGTAATGTAATTAATAATATGTTCTTCTTACAGCAACAGTATTTAGTACAGCACAATGAAACCAGATGTGTTAAATGGGTGGGCTACAGGTAGGCTAATTCTATGTAAGCTTTTAAATTGGATGTTTGAGATGTATTTTCAGTAAAGGAAAACTAAAATGATTTTTAATAGTTAACCTAGTAACACGGATAACTTTTTCTTACATGTGGGTTTCTAGTAAGCTTATTTGCATCAGGAATGAATGAAATTGATAAAACTACCTGATGCAATTAGTATATTAAAAAGCCATATGGCTTAAATTTAAGATCTCCCGTGTACCGCAATAACTGGCGTGTAATATAGCTATATAAGTTTAAATATCCTATTTGAATAAGCATGGTCCTTACCTTGGTATATCAGCGATTTGTTTTATATGGTGAAGATCAATTGTCCACGTTTATATTCAAAAAGAACATGGTCCAACTAACGCGTTGACTTTGAAACCACGGAAAGTTGTCCCCGCTCCATTCAGTTATGTGAAAAATACGATTTTGTTTTTAGGATGTCCTTGTATGGCTATTGGGATGAATCAAACTGTGTAACAGTACATAAGAATATATCAACTACCACATGTTGGTGTCGTATACCAGGAACATTTGCTGTTTTTATCAAACCGGACGAAACAGGGGTAGGTGAAAATTAGCCATTATAATTGTATTTGGTAATTATAATGGTGTTTCGTTTGCTACGAACGTTTGGAAGAGAGAAATATTTGTACCATGGAAACACAATTGACTAGAGAGGACCTAACAGCGTTCTCATTATATGCCCCATACTTCAAAATACGACCTACAAATAACATAATATATTAATGGCATTGTGGCGACACTAACAACCAGCTGTATTTACAATAATCAAGTACATGTTTGTCAAAAAGAACATACAAACAAATCTCTACTGTTTTACTTTAAATAATTTTCATTAATTCCCTTAAAAGATCTGTGTAAAGTAGTGTCGCCTCAATTGAAGCATACAGCTCAATGCATCTGCGCTTGCATGTAATTACCGAAGCCAATACACAACTACTGGGGACACTGTTGCAGTAACAATTCCTACGCCAAACGAGGGAAATAATATTTAGTTTCAATATAACCAGGGTGAAGAGATTCGAGACCAAAATCTCTAGTTAATATTTTAAGTATGTATATTAATTCGTATCGATTCATTACATAATCTCAAAACTGAAAGTAACATGATATAAAAAAAACATATTATGTAACACAACCCATTTTACTAACAGAAATAAACAACCGATAACAAATTGTAAATTCCATACAACAAAGTCGATCATTGGCGTAGGTGTATGTGAGACACGTGGCCCGTGAGAGGAGGGGCAGATGGGGCACTTGTCCAGGGCCACGGAGCATATGGGAACCGCAGGTATGCCAAGTAATAAATTGTAGGTATAAATTAATAAAAAAAATACACTGTATGGTGAGACATACGGAAGGCCTGTTTTTATGGGATGATTACTGTTAGTACAATCAATTAGGAGATTAAAAATAGAATTGCCAGACAGCATTATTATCTTATTAATTCCCAGAACACCTATAGACAGGTGTTTGAAGATTAAATGAGTAATGCATTAGTAGCCTGCCTTGTTCACCAGTCCTGTTTCGGGAATTACTACTGAATAAAACTACTTTTTCCAGAAAAAAAGGGTCCCCAACTGAATTTCATATTTTTTGAAGTCCCATTTTATCAAATTTCTCTGAATGATAATTTATTGATCGTGTGTTTTAGTACAAAAGAAATTTACTTTTAATGGCATTCATATTCATCTTTTACTTTTAATGAAGGCATTCTTATTACAGATATAGATTCGGTATTATTAGTGGGTTGTATTCTGCATTGCGTGGGATGTGTGATAATATCGTCGTCTATATGTTAATCGGGTTCATATTAATTTTTTTTTAGAATCAAGAAGTTCTTATAACAGATATAGATACCGTATTATTAGTGGGCTGTATCCTGTCTTTATGTGGGCTGTGTGCTACTATAATCGTCTATATGTTTACTTGGAGGTGAGTAAGAATTTATCTAGAATCACTATGTTCGGTACCGGGCCTACCTCAAAAATTAGCATTTAAGTGAATTAACCTAGGCCATGTTGAGCGGATCGAGGAGACAAGGAATTTGAGTCATGAATAAATGAATGAATGAAATGTTGTTTCATTGCACGTCAGTACCAAAAGGGCTATATTGCGCCATATCCTGAATAAAACTTGTATTAAGTAACATATTTACTTGAAGCACCAGTTGCATTCTTTTTTGATGAACTGAAACAATCAGGATGTCCTCTTGTAATATTTCTCACCAGACGACTTTGTTATTGTTGTTCTCTTTGGGGATGACTCTCTTCGAAAAAAGCCTAAGCCTACACCAAATCAGGAACGATCGACATGGAACTTGGCATGCTTGCTTCTTGGACAATAATACCGCAACATTTGGCGGATATGACATAAAAATTCCAATATTGATGTAGTGACATCATGCTCGGTCCCTGGTCCATATAGTACTTTCGTACCGTATTTGCTTCGCTTAAGCTTGATGATAATGTTGTTTTTGTTTTGTTTCTATTCAGACATCTTGTTGGTAACATACACTGTATTCACATCAACCTGGTTCTATCATTAGCTGTTGTTAACATGCTGTGTTTGATGTGTCTAGGAAAATCAAACATTGAAGTAAGTTCTAATTTCAATTTAACCATGAACGAGAAGCCTTTTTTAACAAGGACTAATTAGATATGGCTATTATAAATGTACACGAATGACAGTTGACATATCTATTTCAGCTAATGTACTGTCTCCACATATACATTAAGATTAATCTTGTGGTGGTTAGCGTGTTTAAAGCGACGTCAGCGCTATTGAGGTCTTCATCGGATTTTTAACTTTTCAAGTAGTTACGAATGCTCGTTAGAAAATATATTTCTGTAATTAGGCCGGTGCTTAGATTTTCAATAATTAGGTTAATCGAAGGTTATTTTGAATTTGGTGTATTCCAAGTAAATTAAATGTATATTCTTGCTGAGCGTGATGATGCCTCTTTATATCACTCATGTCTTCTAATTTCTTATTGAACACAAATACGGCATTGAAAGAAAGAAATTATATTCAATCTAGCATTAACTGAATTTAATGATTTTGTTATTTATCTTCCAGAGAGTATGTGTAGCCGGAAAAATTCTCATTCAGTTTTTCTACCTGGCGGCATTTGCGTTTATATTTGTGGAAGCTGTACATATGTTTGTGTCGGTTCACGGTGGCAACAGAATAAAGAAGACCTGTATTAAATACTTTATCATTGGATGGGGTATGTGCTGTGTTAATTTATAATCATTGATTTGTAGTACTATTCCACTATAATTCCCATGGCAAGATTAAAGCTAGTTGGAGGGTTTCTGTGTTATTTAAACATGCATTTTGCAAGAGCTAAATCTGCCTGTCTTTCTTTAGGACTGAAATGTCATCTAAGTTATTAAGTAGACATTAATAAACTTATCCAGACCATAATCAACTCTCGATACCATCGCTATTCTGCGATATTTAGCGGATTGGAATACTCTTTGTGTAGGATGATTAAACGTAAAAGTGGATAATCGAGACTTTGTTTTTTTATCATACCGACTTTAGTAATGATGATCGAGGCTAGTCTAAAATTCAAAAGCTCATATCTCTGGCCAGAGTGGAGCAATTTAACTGAAATTTTCAGCATATTCGATTTACGTTATTTATTATTTTTTTAACTATTATAGCGAGAATTGTCAACGCTTTATCTAATCTCCCATAATGCCCCATTAATGATTATTATAATCTTAATCTATGGTTGTGTGATAGCACAGTGGTAGAGCGATGGACCGGCAACTGCGAGGAGAATGGGTGCCGTCAGGGCTTCGATTCCCGTAAGGGTTAGGAAACGTTAGACCTACGGCCCGTGATTTCTGTAGGGGGTCTGTAAAGATCGCCTCACCTCCCGATAACCCTAACCCTATTTCCCCAAGTTAAAAATAATAAATATGCGGCGGCCATGTTGGGCTCGATTTAGGTCCAATTTACCTCCGACTATTTTTTATAATTTTGTGAAATTGTTAATTAAAACATAAAGAAGAAACCCGATCCAGTCGTTAATTTATAACATTCATAATTCTGTTTACATTTTGACTTTTAAAACGTGTGAACGTGATCAAAGACAAAGTTGTTGATGGAATTAAAACTAGATGGGACCCTGACGATCAGAAGTTTTGAAGTAAAATCTTGTTACGCTAAAACACTTTCATATTAATTTGTTGTATTTGGACAGGTTTACCAACAGTTGTAATAGGAGGCGTGGTGATTGCCAGTGAACGGTTGGGTTATGATAAAGATTGTATAGACTGGTAAGGATTTGAGTGGCATTTAACCATCAAGCACAATAAAAACACAACACAATTTATAAAGAATACAATCATGGTTTGTTAGACAAGTAGCACTAACTGTTCTCTTATAGTTTTCAAGGATAAAATGTGGAAACGTTGTGATATATATGTAACAAACCATTGATTGTGAAATGAAATGAAATGGGGTTTAACGTCCTACTGTTCTGCGCCATACAGTGTGCTATGAGGGATATTTGCTCCGTGCAGCGGCACTTTGGCTTAATCTTATATCAAATTCCAACTGCCAAGGGATATTTTACGTGCACGCTAATGTATACAGGGGACGTCGGTTCTTCGTCCCAACTGAACGACTGCACCACTGACAAGGGGGAAACCACGTCGGAAATTCCCAATAAACTTTTTCGGGCAATGCAGGAATGAACAACCATTGATTGTATTCCTTGTAAATTGTTTTGTGTTTTTATATAAAATTCACTACTTTATACCTACTTCCCTGACAAATTTCAATCTTACAATAGCTTATATATATATGAAATATCGAAATTCAAATCTGGGACAAATCATGCTCATGTAACTAATCTGAAATAACATTCTTTTTGAAAATGATAAGACGAATTCATGCTTTCAAGGTTTTTTGGTTTTTTAACCATATCAAATAAATAATAGATGTATTAAAAGCTTTAAAACATTTGTCCCTGGAGTGATTTCTAAAGTTGGATTAAAATGAATAGTAGTTTCTTTTTATGTCCATGTCATTTAACACTAAAAGAAAACCTTGGACTGTAGCTTGGGGTTTTAAAAATGGATACTTTTTTTTAAAAGATAAATATCCCTACATCACTAACACAATTTCATCACCACTACTGCGTGGGCTGAACTGGGCCGTCAGATTATTTGTTTCGATGGCGTGCACGTGGTCATCCAGTTCATCGTTTGTTTCCCAAATAATTTGATATCGCCTTTCCCTGGAATAAATAGGGTTCCAGATCCAGGGGTAGAAAACATTTTAACTGGGCTCAAATTTGTAATTATCGTATACCTAAATTTCCTTGGCTTCAAAACTGCATAATTTAAGTTGAAAGCTAGCAACAAGCTAATAAAACCTGAGTGCTATAACAAAGAATTAATTGCCAGCAACAAAAGACTTTTCCATGGCACCGGGAACTAATCGGCGGATGGCTTCAGCCACCATTGAAACCCCCTTTGTTTTATTTTCTTAACCGGTTTCAGTAGGTCATCTAAAAGCATTTTCTGTAACTGGATCTGTAACAATACCTTATGTTTTACACACCTTGCATGGGGTGTTATTTCCTGTTGTGACGTCATCAGAGGGTGATATCAGATGTCGTCCTATCACCATCGGATGACGTCACAACAGGTTTATATCACTCTGCGCAATGAAAAAGGACACAAATTCTTTTAACATTTTATTCACTGTTTTGTAAAATGTTGTCAAACCATTCGGACGATGAACTTAATTGCCAGGCCCATGTTACTTAGTTTCTTCATCTGACCATCAAAAACTTGTCTAAAACTCTCAAATTCTGGATTGTGTAGTATATTCACATGAGTTTTATCAGCATTTCGTAAATGTGAAACTATTCCCATAACTAAATACCGAATTCGGGGGGTAATATTCATCATTTTATTTTGCTTACTTCCAAGACAAATCTAGACATCCAAAAATAAGGTCTTATATACTCATATTATTGTCTTCCAGCGCACACTATATCGTGTTTATCATTCCGCCACACTGAGCAACTGTTAAAAAAGTTCACAGCCGACCGATATCTGCGTAAGGTGTTTATGAGCACGACATTGTTGGCACATTCACTGGCGTCTTTTTGTCACTCGAAATTGAAAAGCGTTTATCATTTTTATTTTCCTCACAATCCGAAATAGCCGAGTACATTAAATCCTAGCTACGAGAACGCAGCTAAAAACGTTGAGATAGATCAGATGTGCTTGTTTCAGGTACGATTGGGTGCCTTTTGTTTCACCTGGCAAAATTTATTTTCTTTATTAATGCATGTAATGTCTTAAAGATATGTTAATTTTATACTATTAGAACTTATTACACATATGCAGCCCAATCTACAGGAAACAACTTTCATATCAGCAAATATTGACAATAAAGTAAACCAAGCGTTGTTTTTATCAAAATTGATACGGACATTCATAAGTACGATGTAGTGTTGGCTATTGTACACGAGGCCCTGCCTTTGTGAGTTAAAGACGTCAAATTTAAAATGTCGGAGAAAGCAGTGTATTATCGCTTCGATTTAAGAAGAGGGGATTTGTGGGCTGTGGTCTAGAGTGCCGCCCATCGGCCTCTAGCTGACCGATTGTGGTTTCGATCCCTGGTGTGAGCTATGTGGCTTGGAGATAGGGGCGCCTTCTCAACCCCACGGGTTTACTCCGGTTACCTCCCACAGGAAAGATCCCTGCGCGTGCGCTAAGATAATAAATAAAATGAAAAATAAGACTTGTCTGCGATATGACCTTCGTTCGAAGCGGACGTTAAACACTAAGAACAACAACAACCTGTGTTGGGTAGTATTTTATGCTTAATTGTAGTTGGATGTGGCAGGAATGATATAAATAAAAATAATCAATCGTTGTTTTGAAGAAAAAATTGACAATTTAATTGCTTATTTGAATCCCGATATGATTAGCGCTGAGCTTTGCCAGTTGTAACTTATATAGCACCATCTCTTATTATCTCGTAACACGGATGATTGAAAGGTGAGGTTTCTTTTCTAATTAAATCCTTGTTTAATATTTTCTGCTCACATTCTGCATTTTGACTAGCTTTAAATAATTCTTTGTCAGAAACTACATTTTCTTTTTCGACCATATTTTCTACTAACCGACTTGCTCGGATATGTCCGTCGTCCGATTCGTTTAACAACATTGTACGAAATGAATGACAGTTTGTGAACACGCGGTTACTAAAATATAATGCACGTACAACTTACTATACAACGTTTTCTTAATTTTGTCATATCAGTCGCAGGTCCGATATGCCATGGGCTAAATCATTGTCTTATTATAGGTGAAATCAATTAGAATAGATTTATCATTGACTTTGATGTCGGTATTTAAATCAAATAGTATCCTATACTCTCAGTCGATATGTGAAATAACCCACGGTCTTCGGCCTAAGGTTATTCCACATATCAACTTCGATGAGGGTAATCTCGAAGACTCCTTTACCTACAACGGGCTATAATATAGAATTTGATATACGATTATAACATGTTTTTTTTTATATATGTGTGTTTTATTAGGTGTTGGCTATCAGAAAATCATTGGCATTTTTACAGTTTCATTATACCTATGATTATTCTTATACTGGTAAGTATTACATATAAAATTATGATAGCTGTTCTTACTCTATTTGGCCATCGACCAAATGCAGATAGTTATGAAAACCTGGACAAATTCCAGTTCATTAATCTCGCAACAACATATTTTCTTTCAAAAATTAATGGACAATTTGTGAACTTGAAACATTCGTATACAAGAAGGGGGATTGGATGGCCGAATGGTTAGCACGTGCACGCTGTATCATAAGGTCTGTCATTAGTCAACTGGCGTGGTTTCGATTCCCCGGTTGTACGTGACAATGAGTAAGGATCGTTTGTCCGACCACGTGGGTTTTCTCCGAGTCCTCCGGTTTCCTCACACTGCTAAAGACCCCTACGAAAGCGAATTATTGAAATAAAATTGAACCAGGTGTTAGTCCCGAAATGACCTAGTTTGTGTCGATGCCTCTCTCTCTCTCTCTCTCTCTCTCTCTCATACAAGATACACAGCTTGTCAATTATTTTTTTAAGGCTTGAGTTATTCAGAAATTTAACTAACTATCCTTATATCGAAAACAAAATTATCCTATAATGGAATGCTTGTATTTGCAGGCCCAGACAGGACTAACATTTGTGGCTGTTTTAACTGTATATAGGTGGAAAGAGGAGTGGCGATTTGCAGAAAGAAGACAATATATGTGAGACAAGCCATATTTAAATTTGTTTATACCCAAAAATGGTGTACCAAAATACAAAATTGAGTTCGTTTTATGCAAGCACATCATTCGGGAGAATAGTCTGGAACTATTTTTTAGAAATAACTAAACATGGACCTGTTTGTGATTCCTCTCACCATTTCTTAATTTTACGGAAAGAATAAAATGCTCATTTAAAAGATGTATTATGGAAGATTTAGATTAAAAAAAGGTGGTCGTTCTTGCTGTACTTCAAATATAGATAATGAACATTTGGAAATTTCAGTCATGTTTACTTTATTCTGAGCGAAGTTATGTATGTTTGAAGTTTTAACAAGAATATGCTAGTCTCGATTGTCATTGCTATGATAAAGATAGGTTGCCAGGTAACGAAACATACGCCCACAGCAGCTAAATCGTCCGGCGGTCGACAAAGGTTGTCGCATATTTTTTCCTTTGTAGGTAATTGGGGCCTTTACAAGACACTTCCATACAGATCAGATTATATTTTTTGCCATTTGAGGGTTCACAAGGTTCTACAAACTGAAACAAGGGTATCAACTCTGGGAGTAATCTACAGAAATTGTTGAAATTTGATAGGCTTTTTCGTTTTACTAATTTAAATAATGCATCTAAATTTCATACAGATCAGATGATCACTTTTGTCATTCAAACTTTCACAAGGTTCACAACCGCCATAACTCTAAAAATTATTGACGGAAATTGCTGAAATTCAATAGACCTCTGTTTCAGAAATGATGCATATAAATTTCATACAAATTTCATAAAAACTTTCATCAATCGAGCAATAACAAGGTTGAACAAAGTGAAACAAGGGCCATAACTCTAGAAGTAATAAACGGAAATTGCTGAAATTCAATAGGATTCTTCTCTTTACTAATTTAAATGACGCATGCAAATTTCATACAGATCGGCATATAACTTTTGATGTTAGAGCGTTCACAAGGTACAATAAAGTGAAACAAGGGCCATAACTCTAGACGTAATAAACAGAAATTGCTGAAATTCAATGAGATTCTTCGTTTCACCAATTTAAATAATGCATATAAATTCCAGAAAGATCGGATGATAACTAATGCAAACAACATATATCAATTTTAAAACAATGATAACTTTTGGCGTTAGAGTGTTCACAAGAAATTGTGGACGATCGACGGACGGACGGGGGCGACGGCAATATACGTCCACTTTTCTATGTGGGCGTATAAAAAACGGTTTTCCATTTTGTTTTTTTCCTTAACCAATTAGCAAATTACTATCCAAGCTTAAATAACATTTGAAGCCAGAAAAAAAAACTTCAGTAGGGAGATTTAGTTCTTACTTAAGCTATTTTTAACTATATTGTTTTACTGCAGTGGCTTCCCTAGATTCTGGACAGAGATACGAGGGAATCATTTATATTTAAATATTTTGCAGGTGTCAAGGAGGCCAGATGATGATGATACAAACATTACTGACAGCTTCCTGCATCACAGGTTCCATGATTCTTCAACAAAATGGCCAAATGTATTCGTACATTTTTATTATTTCTGATATATCGTTGGTACGTTTACAATATAAACTATTTTTAGATACCTTAAGTACTTTTATTTCACGAAAAGACGGTCTTCACTAAAAATTAAATAATAAATGAATATCAAATGGTTGGTTAATAAGTCTGTGCTACAGTGATACGTTAAAGTATATTATCGGTGATGTTCTGCAGGTTGTAAGCTAGACCGGAATCGAAATAAAATAAAGTTTAATGTTCTGGGGGGGGGGGGGGGTTTGGGGGGGGGGGTGTTGTTGCACCGACTGTGCTAATGGAGACGGGCATATGCCATCGGTGTGCTATGAGGCTAATTTTGCCCTTGCCACGCCCTCCATCCTGCACTACTGACAAGGGGAAATTCGACCAACACAGGGATCGGACCCTGAACCTCCTGCTTAGTGACCGAGCGTATTCTTACTCACTGTTGAACTTACTACATTCTTTGCTTTAAAAATAAAAGTATATTTTATGTAAGGATTATGGTTTTGATTGAAAGCTTTGCGTTTTATATTTTTCAGTCAACCATATTGTTATTGTTTCTCTGTGTTTTAAAAAAACAGGTAATTATTTCTCTATATCTAGACCCCGGATAAAATTGATATCAAGTCATAAAAAACTACACTTGATGGTTTTCGGACATTAAGATGTTCTATCTATACTAATGTCCAAAAGAAAGTATACACTGTGCATTTCGTCCTGCTTCAAACAAAGTCGTTTTCCATTGTATGCGGTATTTGGGTACAATGTTCATTTGTTTTGCTGTTTATTTGCTTAGAAATATTGAGTTTGCGAGACATGTTCAGTGTAGTTTTATCACATTTTTTTTTTTTTTTTTTTTTTGATTTAAACAAAACTTAGTCATATTTTTAGTGTGTATACTTTCTTTTGGACATTAGTATATCATATTATAGGCCTAGCTATTGCTTTATTATAGTCACAGAACATGATATAATTAGCGCATTCATTCTCGTTCCAGGTTCCCGCCGCTATTTTACATATATTTAAACGAACGAGCGACGTTGATTATAAACGGGTAAGCTGGTTTTCATTTAAATCCAAGATGTTTTACAACTTGAACATCATTTGCGGCCAATTAACCAAGAGAGTGAGTTGTAGCTGTCTTTGTACCGGAAAATGGTGTACAGAACACTAATCTATTTATTTCGGCTAACATTCGTATTCCAGCCATGACGAACTTATTCAGTTTGACGAGGTTTCTTTCGGACCATTGTTGAGACGAGGCTTACAGATATACACAAAACCCAGCTTGTATTTGGCTGTAATTAGTGACAACGTGACAATTTTAAAAGGTTCTTATTGTTTATTTTCAGAAGTTTTCCACCAGTTCGTTTCGAAGTAAGTAAACATTTTGTAAATTGTATCCTTTCTGAATCATACATCCTTGTTCCGTTCTTTGTGGAGCCACATTGACTGATGGCAGGAGGAAAAATATCGTCAAGAAGAAAAATATAGGGGGCAGCTTGTGTACTTGACACTGAAGAACAGGCGGAAAAATTTACGTTATAGTACATTGCATTTGGTAAACCCACGCCCTTCCTGATTAGCACAGGTTAGGTGAAAAGGGTAACTTTGTCGTAAAAAATGTAGGTTAACGTATATTGCGTTCTAATGTTTTATTGTCGTTACTTTTCAAAGTCACCTAGCATGGACATCTTGAATAAATTGCAATTTCCGGTTTCACTCTTGGTCTATTTCGAAACATACAATTGGTGTAATTACTGGATTTTTGTTTTAGCCTTTATGATGCCAGAGAAGGTAGACGAGAGTAACCAGACAGTAGAAAAGGTTGTCCAGGACCACCATAACGCTGTTAACAGAAGCACATATACAGCAGAGAAGAAAAAACAGCTTCGCTTTCTATTAGGTAGTTCTGGTAACTATAGTGACGCGTCAACCACGGGCTCGGGGTCGACTTCTGGTTCAGGCTCTGCCTCAGGGAGTGACGGGCCAATGAGATTTAGACCCAGATACTCTGGTGCTCGTGACAATGGGGATAGTGGTTTCTCAGAAGAAACGGGTAGTGACCGTTCATCTTATAAAAATAATTGTTTAGTAGAGTTACATCCACTTCCTTCAACGTCAGAAGGGAAGGAATCCCATTCTGGTGCCCATGACAATTCTGCACAAAGTTATGTTCTTGCTGATTTTCCGCAAAAAACTATGGAAACGTCAGTTGATCGTGAGTGCATACTCAATAAACCCTTAATTAAAAATATTCAAAAACCTACTCAAAGTGAAAAGAAAACAAGATTTATTTTTGCAACCGATGATACATCAGTGGACATGTTTAAAACCACGGAACCGTTGATATCAGACAATTTACGTGTTTGATTTTAATTCAAAACAGCAGCAGCCTAATATGTTACCATGACAACATATTGATTATATTATTGTTATTATTTAAATAAACCGGTGTGATGTTTTAAAGGTCAGGTGGTGATTTAAGAATGTTTATAAAAGTGTGATAAAACTAGCACTTTGTGATTGATAAAGAGGGTGCTATAGATTCAATTATATTTTTTGTTGTTGAATGAACGGAAGAGATATGTTTTTGATAAGTTTTGTTTTTGTGAGTGCCCTAAAATAAATATAAATGAATTTTGTGTCGAATTGATCTCGAATACAAACCCGCAAATATGTAAAACAAATAAAAAAATTGCTCTAAACAAGCTAAGGAGACGTGCATGTAAATGAATACGCATTTTGGGACAAACCCAGAATGGCACTGCCAACTTGATAATATTACCGAGAGAAGCCGTTGATAGTAGCTAATAATTCCATCTTGTAAGCGATCGCCAAAAGTATTCCTGGCATGACGAAATAGTGAAGTTTGTAAATAATAATATTGTTTATAAAGAAATGAGAGATTAATATCAATTGTTGTATTATTTATTAATAAAATTTCATATACAAAGATTGTGATATGGAATATATTGTTATTGCAGCTTAAAGTTAATTTATGTTGAATATTTGCTCACTGTTATACGTTCATAATCCTGTTTATTATAGGCATTTACATATTATAGACTAAAGTCAAACCTACACGATCAAACAATATGTCTTCAATGAAATTTTTTTTTTTTTTTTTAATTATTTGCCATAAGTGAAATGTGATGAAATGGGGTTTAACGTCCTACTTTTCTGCATCAACCTAGCTAATGAAGGTGGTTTTTGTTATAAGCATACATGCACCTCACCCCTAAAAGAACTTTGTAGTTCAAGTACTAATCAGCATGACCTATGAAGCTTGGCAATTCCATATACTGACACGACTTACATGTATTTTATTGTAAGTAAAACCTTCAATGTGCTTAGCGCTTTAGTGGCATTGATTTCAAGGTTTGGAAAAAATACTGTTAGGCCATATCAATTTTCATAATCGTGTCAATTTATTTAAATTCATTTTGTGAATCCCCACAAAAACAGACATTATTTTCATAAATCTATCATTTCTCTCACTTTTTCACAAAGGGCTTTTGTACATGGATTAAATAAGTAAATAATATTAAGAGATATATATTTATGTGTTGTGAATCATATAATCTACACGCCACTGGAGATTTTTTGCTTATCACAACGATTCTCTGTATTTAAGCCACACTTTTATCGGTTATTATGTTGTGGAAATAATAAAATAATATCACGATTTTCTCACAATTATCTTCAGATTTTACTCTGATAAAAATTAAAATAGGTGAATGCTACCTTTTGTAAGAAAAAAAAAAAAAAAAAACATGAAAAAGGGGGCAAACAGCCGTTTTAAGAGTATTTTTGTTTACCTAATTTGTAAAATGTTGTCCATTAAAAAATAAGATCCTTTGTGATAAGTTGAGTATAATGATATCTTACAAATTGTAAAGTAACACAAATGTTGAATTTCAAAAGAAAACATACAAGCACAACCGCCATTCTCGCAAACTAGCCAATTCTTTAGACACAGCTACATATATTTAAAGGTCAATCTTTGGGTGTTCGACTTAATAATAGTTGCCCGGATTTCAAAAATTTTATTTTATAGTGATAGTCAATATCACAAAACGAATGAAAAATATTTGACAAGCCCAGTGTCGAAATGTTGGATGGGTTTCTGAGAATACTATACATATTATTTCGTTAAGAAAGAAAAAAGGCCACAACCAAGCCAATAAAGAAATATTTAACCATAGGCCCAATACATATAAATATTAACCAAACTTAACAAATAGTCTATGAAATCTGGAATTCAGTACAGTATAACGCATCAATCGTCAGTGATATTTCGTTGGTGTGTGTTGGCCTTTAAGTTTTAGACACAAGTACGCCACATCACTATGTTTTCATGTATTATAATCTATAAATATATATTTTGATATTCATAGCCCTTGCGCCTTAAATAATATAATTATATACTGAAAAGACCGGTAATATATTATTCATATACATTGTACGCATAGTATTGATAAAGTATTTATTTTAGTGTTTATTTTAAATTTCAAAATCCTGTAAGAAACCGGTGAAGTGCAATTAAAATGGTTATCTAATACATTGTCTTCTTTCTGTGATTCTTGGTGGATCAGCATTTTGATAATCAGATACTCTAGAATGCGAAAAATGAAATAAAATGGTGTTTTATTGCATGTCAGCACCAAATATATGGCGATTTTAACGATATAATCAAGTAAAGATTATATGGTGAAATCAATTAAATGAACATCTAATTGATGATATGTTGTAATTTCTATTAATGATAATTGTCAGAAATGTGTTTTTAAGACGTATCTTAATATGTACTAATTGTTGTACAAGCGTCAATTTGGTAGTCCTATATCTATCTGTAAAATTAATTCAGACGGATTTGTTATCCATAGCCTTAAATTTAAATAAACAATGAAATTACGGTACCAAGAATCTAATAAGAGTAAGCAAGAGAAAGCATGCACATGTTCATTCACATATTCCTAAAGCAATGGTAACGAAGTGCTGATAATGCTCTGCTGATAATGCTCGTAACCAATTCTTGAGGAATGTACCTGATAGGCCTACTATAAAGATATATTACGTTTTAAAACGAATTTGATTGTTATTGTTATTTGAATCCCGAGTGTGTTTCACTATTCTGATACGACTTTTAATGAACTGATTCATTCCCTGTGTGTTGTATGTAAATAAGTTATCGGTGATCTTTGTTAATATTGTATCGGATATCCAGTGCTGAAATTATAATTGTTTTCTTTTTTTGTTTTTTGTTTTTTTTATAATAAAAATGTATTGTGCAACACGGGTATTTATTTTAATTGTTTCAGCGCCCACTATAAGCCCATTGGATAATATTCACCCAAATGTGTAAGTGGGACTCAGGGGCATGGTAACCCATGATTTTGCAAGCCCCCCACCCCCCAGTGTCGCGGAGTAATTTGTAGCATAACTGACCCACGTATATGTTTGATACTGGTTTAGCATTATGATTATGATTATAATGTTGAAAACCTCATTGAAACTATATGATTTTTGCCATTTGCGAGGAGGGGGGGGGGCTCAAAAACTCAAAACCATGACACAAAGCGCGTCTAGTGGGACTGGGTATGGCGTTTGGGTGTTTCTTGTGGTTGGCTTGGACTATCCACTGATAGTAATATAAGGGAAGTTACTCCATTAATTCGTTCTAGTGGAGGCAGACCACTATTCATTTCACAAAAGTTTCGTTAGTTAGTTAGTGTTAGTTGTATTTTACGGCCGCTTCCACCGAGGTGATATCGCAGACCACTATTCATTTCACAAAAGTTTCGTTGCGCTAAAGGCTTTTTATTATAGCGGGAGCATTAGTCGGTCATATCATTGCACCAAAGTTGGTATAGCATACTATAATCATGTTACTATCTGCGGTATACGGAAGACCATTAGGGTCAATCAAAGGAATAAATACATGATAGCCTATCTTACAATTACAAGATAGCTATTCACCAAACATAATTGTTGATTAGAAATTACAATATTTTTTTTTTTCAAAAATTGAATATAAATCACTTTACATACTTTCATATTAAATTAATATGTGCTTTTAGAACCATTTCAAGGTTAAAAAAAAATAAAGCCATACGCCCATTAATAAGAACCCACTGAATATATAATGGTACATTTTGGATTAGCGCCATTTCGTCTATATCCCTTTTAAACAAGCTGTTGCCATTTTTACGTTTCGCTGAACCTCTTTCATGCGTCTATATTTAGTTCAATTGAATCTAAGCTTGCAAAATTATCTATCGTTGCCATCTTGATTTTGATTTCTTTAATAATCAATTGATGTACATTCAGGCTTGGATTAACAAAATTTTCTGAAAAATGTAAATGAGGTTCAGTGGTCTTAAGGAGAGCATGAAATCAATGAATCATAATGATATCTATGAAATTGGTGGGACTATGAAGTTAATGAACTTAATGAATGGTTTTTAATCAGGGCATGAAATAGAATGATATTAATGGGAGCATAACCTGAATGTGCTGATTCCCTAACATAAAAAAGTACTTCATTGGCCTAGCTATCCGATAAATCAGTGGAGGGCGAACTTGTAATAAACTAGTTAGAACACTTTTTTTCATGTGACTGACCCTAATGGGCATATCCCTATCTTGCAATTACAAGATAGTTACAGGCTATCTTGTAATTACAAGATAGTTATATAAAATGGTTGTAACAAAAGAGACTAACTTGTAATTACAATTTTCTGAAAAATGTAAATGAGGTTCAGTGGCCTTAAGGAGAGCATGAAATCAATGAATCATAATGATATCTATGAAATTGGTGGGACTATGAAGTTAATGAACTTAATGAATGGTTTTTAATCAGGGCATGAAATAGAATGATATTAATGGGAGCATAACCTGAATGTGCTGATCCCCTAACATAAAAAAGTACTTCATTGGCCTAGCTATCCGATAAATCAGTGGAGGGCGAACTTGTAATAAACTAGTTAGAACCCTTTTTTTCATGTGATTGACCCTAATGGGCATATCCCTATCTTGCAATTACAAGATAGTTACAGGCTATCTTGTAATTACAAGATAGTTATATAAAATGGTTGTAACAAAAGAGACTAACTTGTAATTACAAGTTAATCAGAATTTTTTTTTTTTTCGTTCTAGTATTCTAGTTCTATGATTTGATTGACCCTAATGGTCTTCCGTAGCGGTATGACTATAACCAACATCTTAACCTTGTTATCCTTCCACCCTCCAAATCATGAATATTTACAAAAAAATCAACACATGTCTCTTCAACATTTTATTTAGATTCGAAAATAAAATGAATAAGCATTGGGTAATATTGCACTTTTCAACAGGAAGCTCAATAGTTTAGATGAGCAGTTAAGTTTTCAGCTTCCAAATGTTAATGTTATCACTAACAAATCCTTATTTTAGGTTCTTAATATTATTATTATTATCTTTCCATGGATAAGAAAGGAATACAGGGTTCCCGCGGCTTCGTCAAACATTTTTTCAAGGATATTCAAGGATAAATATACGTCAAATTCAAGGATTTTCAAGGACATTTTTTAGCCTAAAGTTACAATTTTTCATCTTAAAAATAACCAAAACATTACCAACTATGTTAGAATCTCATATTTAAAAGTAATTGAAGACATTTGAAACAAAATTAAGGATCTCAACTGAAATTCAAGGATATTTTCCTATTTCCGCAAAATTCAAGGATATTCAAGACCTTGAAAATGAAATTTTAAATTTAAGGATATTCAAGGATTTTTAAGGACTGCGGGAACCCTGGAATATCTTTTGTTTAATTTAGATGATAGATTCTACAAACTAATAATACTTTAAAGTGAGGCTACATAAAAAAAATATTTTGGTTCTCAGATAATCCCCCGTCACTTAGATAGGGCTGCATTATCGCGCATAAAGTAACTCTATAAAAAATATTTAAATGAATCCAGAAATGTGGCGTAGTTCATTTATCAAGTAACCATTAACCAACCCTGATTAAAGTTACTGACAATCATAAATGATACTTGATAATCTAAAATTCCTATAAACAACATGATGAGATAATATAGTGCCTAGAAATGTGATGTTTATGACCCAGCTGTCATTTAACAAAGTAATAATCTTTTCACAAAAAAAACATAATAACCTTCACTCACATCAGTATGGCCTTATATTTATTTACTCCATGTTTCAACCTACTTCTTAAATTATCATACTTTAAGAAAATAAATATAGAAGTATGTTATCCACAAGAAATGTATTAGCTCCAATTAATTTTAAAAAATTATTTGAATAAATCTTGTAACAAGGGCTGTATAGAAGCAATAGCAGGGAAGTTAACACTGTCCAAAGGGGTTTCCACCTTATCATCAGATGTATTATTAATAATACTCTCTATATCAGGACACCTTAAATTAAAATTGAAAAAAAACAAACTTAAGTATGAAATGAAATGGGGTTTAGTGTCCTACTGTTCTAATCTGACTGGGCTAATGAAGACAGGCATATGTCATACTGTGTGCAATGAGAGAAATTTTGCCAGGACTGCAGCACTACGACCTACTGTTATAGCAAATTCCAACTCACAAGGGTTCTTTTACGTGCATGCCAGTGTGCACACAGGACCTATTTTTTCATCCCATCCTAACGAGTAAACACTGTCCTTATCAGGCCCTCCATTCTCACACACTGATAAGGGGAAACACAAACCAACATCTTACTCAATAAGCCACCACGACTCCCAACTTAAGTAAATGCTTGTTCTATGTATTCATTTTTCATTTATGGCTTCTTATTACTCTATATGTTATGCTCGGCTTGATAAATATAAGAGAGTACCATCATAGAAAACATTTATAAACTAGTAATTGTTATTTCGTATAGAGAAGTTGAAATAAATGAAATGAAATGGGGTTTAACGTCCTACTGTTCTGCTCCTAAACTGGGCTAATGAAGACGGGCATAAGCCATACAGTGTGCTATGAGGGAAATTTTGCCCGGGCAGCGGCGCTATGGCCTACTCTTATATCGAATTCCAACTGCCAAGGGATCTTTTACGTGCACGCCAATGTACACAGGACCTTGGTTTTTTGTCCCATCCGAACGACTAGACAGCTGTCCTTGTCAGGCCCTCCGCCCTGCATCACTGACAAGGGGAAACCACACCGGAAAATCTGGATGAACTTTCTCGGCCAATGCAAGGATCGAACACCAGACCTCCAAGCTAAGTTGAAATAAACTTACTTTTGCCAGTTTGGTATTAAAGATGATAGTTGATCAGTATAGTCTGTAAGTACACCATTCTAAAACAATAAAATACTATAAGTTAATCTATGATCAGACACGGATTTAAAGGAGGAGAACATGAGACCAAGTAAGCGCTCCCGTGAGCTAAAGTACCCAGTGGCGAAGCGAAGGGATGTGGGGCTCGACAGCAACATTGTTGTATTCCTGGTGGGGTTGATTTGTGGATGGCACCTTAGACTTGGAATCGCCCCCAACCCTATTCTAGATCTCCTACTGTCAATGATACATAAGCAACATTACATGCCAGTTAACATTTCTTAGCCGACAAAGTCTTCAACAAGATAATCACCCAAAACATGGATATACACCGACACAAAAGCTATTTCTCGAAAGAAAAGCTTGTCATAGAAAATCTTGTATGTTGACCAAAATTGAAAAAAGTCCATTAAAAATTGTAGCCTCTATCTAGGCTGAATTCCATGGGCACAAATTATCATTGCAAAAATATTTTCGTTCCTACAAATCCAGTCTAGAAGTAATTTTATCAGTGTTTAGTTAATATAGTGATAATCGTTTGATGAAATGTTCAACAAAAAATTTAATAATTATTGATAGTAAAATTCATAGCACACAAGGTCATTGGACAGAATTCAAAGTTGTTCGCTGCGTCATGTGATCGTTTTTTCCACAATCAACCAATCACGTTATTGTCTACATTTGCGAGTGTTGTTGGTAAACACAAAATGGCGTGCGAGAGAGAGAAAGAGAGAAACTAGATCATTTCAGGACTAACACATGGTTCAATTTTATTTCAATAATTCGCTTGCGCGTAGGGGTCTTTAGCAGTTGGAGGAAACTGGAGTACCTAGAGAAAACCCACGAGGTTGGACAGGTGACCCTACTACTCCTTGTCACGTACAACCAGGGAATCGAAACCACGCCAGTTGACTCAATGAAGGACCTCATGATACAGAGCGCACGTGCTAACCATTCATCCATCCACCCCTCCCCCACAATCACAGACTCAATGACAGACCTTAAGACTTCATGTGTACATGTTAAACCATTCGCCCCACCCCCACCCTCCCCCTTCAATATTAAATAGATCCCTTTGTAAATTATGTATGTTATACAGTGTATTAAGTATAAATGTCTACAGTGTATTTAAATTTATCTATTAAATAAATGTATAGGTGTATATTATCTATTACGAAATGTTGGTATTTATATTATGCTATATTTATATTGATAAATATCACCTGATACATGATATAACAAATGCTGTTTTTGTGATTATGACTCGAATGTTTTGGCGTATGTAGTTATGACCAAAATGCCATTTTGCATTAGGGCCTTTATGTCCATAACCCCTACTAATAGGCCTAGTACGGTACTTCATCAACTTCACCACCTACTCCTTCATTGATCTTTCCGACGTGGTTTCCCCTTGTCAGTGATGCAGGACGGAGGGCTTGACAAGGACAGCTGTCTAGTCCTTCGGATGAGACGAAAAACCGAGGTCCCGTGTAAACATTGGAATGCATGTAAAAGATCCCTTGGCAGTTGGAATTCGATATAAGAGTAGGCGATAGTGCCGCTGCCCTGGCAAAATTTCACTCATAGCACACTGTATGGCTTATGCCCGTCTTCATTAGCCCAGTATAGGAGCAGAACAGTAGGACGTTAAACCCCATTTCATTTCATTTCATTTCCTTCATTGATCTCACCAAAGAAATTAAAATTACATTATGGCACACTACTACTTCATCAGAGTTAAGGAAGTCAGTTTTATCAGAGATCCGTATAATTTGCAAGAAAAAATCCAAGTATGTTCGAGTTGGGGCTACACCAAAGTGGGACAATTTAGTCCAGAATAATACAAAAACAGCATTTTTATTACTTTATTCAAAGCACCAATAACATTTTTGCTGTTTTGATAGGTCTGGTGAAAAAAATATCTTTATTCTAACTACTAAATGTGTTAGGTCTAATATGTGTGAATATCTACTGGAACCTAGACCTTCGGGACATAAACATATACTTTAAGTTTCATCAAACCTGATAAAAATTGTGACTTCAAGAGGGTCGTTTTTTTTATTAAAATCAGATAAAAATTGTGACCTCTAGAGGGTCCACAAGCTAAAAATGTGATTTTTCGTACAATGAGGGGCCATAATCCAGGAAGTTACAGTACAATATGCGCAAATTACGAAAGGAACCAAGATCTTTGGATTATAAACATACATATCAAGTTTCATCAAAATCAGATAAAAATTGTGACTTCTAGAGTGTCCGCAACCTTGGTATTACACACTTTTACACTATTTGCATACAAGAAGCAGCCAATTTGTCCGGCAGTTTAGGTCATATTTTTACGAAATTCGAACTCAACCTTGATGTGTAACGGTGATTTTTCAAACAATCAGGGGCCATAATCCAGGAAGTTACGTTCGGATATGCGAGATTATCGAAGGGAACCAAGATCTTTGAGATAGAAACATAGAGGGTCCACAACCTTGGTAATTGAATGTCACTTGATAAGGGAAAACGAGAAAAATAGAAATAGTCCGTAAATTCCCTTGTCTTTATTCATTCTATACTTAATAAAAACATGGTTAATGCACAGACTTTTTCTATTTTTCTCGTTTTCGCTTATCTAGTGACAGTCAGTTATTTTTTTGAATTGTAAGATATCCTCCCACAATCTCATTATTAGTGAGCTGAAATTTGCCCGTGTATCTGTTATCACTCGTCACTTCAGTTAGTTATATAGAAGGATAACTCGTATTTTCCTTTTGCGTTCGTCACTTCCCTTTCTTGAAAGCTTCTTAACGCATCTATCGTAGCAATGATCTCTGAGTTAAAATTATATTTGGAACATGTTTAACCATTTCTATCACATATGTGATAATAACTGACACCAATACTGTCCTTTAAGAGTGGAATTAGCTGATATTATTATCAGGAAATAACTGATCGTTTACAGAATATTGGTCCAATGTCTTGTTTTTTGGTTGGGTTTAATCACAATATAAACTAACCTTAACTAAAGCTGTAACAAGTATATATATAAACATTGATCGTTGTTTAACTGCAACCTCTTCTTCTTCTAAAAGTCTAAATATCTTCTTCCATTGTTGATGTGATACTAGATATCTAACAGTTCTTAAAATACTGTTTTTGTCACCACTGTAATAAATGTAATAGTAAAATGTGCTGGAAATTTTAATGGAATATAATCAGGATTTTTAAGACAAAACCGAGGACAAGACGCACAAGCTAACTATGAGACCCACGATTCACCAAATCAACTACCCAGAAGTCTAAACTACATTTAATAATTTATTTCGTGAAGACACAAAATTTGACGCAGGGAAAAGAGATTTAATCAAGATTTTCGGTGGCTAAACTAAGCTGTCAAATCAAATTATCAATGTCTGACCCAACCCGTGTGAAGCCAGAACAAAAGATTGTAGTAACCAATTAAAAGAGACATTTTGGACATAAAAATATTCACAATACAGATTTTATGCCAAGTATTGTTTAGAATATTATAATGTATATTGATAACAATAATAGCTTAGATATGTAGACATTATATCTAGCCTGTACATGGTTATTGAAAAACTTTTTAAATTTTGTGTGTGTTTTTCTTAAAATAAATAAGTTCATAAAGTTCAACATACCAAGCTAACAATAATTTTGAGGTAGAATTAATAGCTATTTGTGGTTTAACTGAGGTCTTCGGTTCTGGTAGGCAATCTAAAGCTTTCTGATAATACTGCATCTAAACAAACACATAATATCTCAAATCAGAATGGCATTCAATTAAAGAGCAATATATTAAAACAAATGACACAGCTTCAACTGCTTTATAAATAAATAAACAAATACATAGTACTAAAATGCTCTTTGAAAAATGAATTTAGTTGCAATGGTAAAATTTCATCAACTTTTCAAAGTTAGATGCCGCTCTACACAACATTTCAAATAGGAAGTGTTTTCAGATGTTTTTGTAAAACTAAGTATGCCATGCAATATAATATACCCTCCACTACATATAGCTAAACAAAATGATCATTGGATTTGTAAATGCTTGTAAATGCACACACCAGTCGATAAGCTAGTCATCACAATTAACATCACATAATAACAGTGGAGGTCGGGTGTTCGATCCCTGCATTGGCCGAGAAAGTTCTTCCAGATTTTCCGGCGTGGTTCCCCCTTGTCAGTGATGCAGGACGGAGGGCCTGACAAGGACAGCTGTCTAGTCCTTCAGATGATCCGAAAAAAACGAGGTCCCGTGTATACATTGGAATGCACGTAAAAGATCCCTTGGCAGTAGGCGATAGTGCCGCTGCCTGGGCAAAATTCCCTCATTGCACACTGTATGGCATATGCCCGTCTTCATTAGCCCAGCATAGGAGCAGAACAGTAGGACGTTAAACCCCAATTCATTTCATTTCATTTCACATAATAACAGCCTTCAAGATTGCATGTATGTGTATCCATCGCTAACTGGTGGCATCTAAGAACAAGCCACAGTTGATTAATATACTAGCAGTATAACAATCAATGGTAGCGGTAAATCTTGGGTGATAAATTTTACACTGAACTATTGTAAAGATCTATTAAATACAAGAAATATTATCTTACTATATGTCTTTTTCTAACAAAAGCTGAAACACCAATATATTTCTCACTAACTATTTGTGACATTTCAACAAACTTCACCTGTATAAAAACAACAAACACGATAAAACAATCTTCAACATCCTATGCCCATGCACAAAAACTATATCGAATTGCCATTTATCTGAGAAATTCCTAATTAGCAAAAGACAAAACTACTATAACAGGTTCATATGTATACAAAGTTTCATAAAAATCTCTCAAGTGGTTCATTAAAGATAATATGCTCTGGAAACAAAACAGGTTGGACAGAGCCCATTTCATTATATCTCCCCATAACAAATTCATTGTGGAATAAACTACACAAATTAAACCCCAATAATTACAACGTTTGACAGCGTAAGCGGCTATATTTAAATGGTTGTATGTGAATTATTCTAGGTTTAGGAACATATTCACAGTTCAAACAAAATTTACATACTAATGTTCTTACCAATAGTTCTGGTCGTAATTTAAAAATCAATCTACAAAGATGATTAAAAATAAATGGTTTTTGATTTCCTGGATCTGTTTCACCCAAACCTAACACTTTGCGCCATTTGACCATCTCAGTTTCAGTGACTGATTCTAAAATCATAAGAGCATTATGAATATCTATGTAAATGGAATTATTTAGAAAATCTGAAATGAATGCAATATTCCATTGAACATTCTGAAATTTAATTTTCTCAATTCGAAAAATAGTGAAAATCGCGTGAAACAGGGGATTTCGGCAACAACACATACGTTGAATAAATAAGAAAATATCTCAACCAACCACAGTTGAAACATATTCCTTGTGTTTAATTACGTCACGATTCTATTCACACCACCTCAGATGTCGGGACAGACAGAAATGTGAAGGGACTGAATTCCACTTCACTCAATTGCAATTCTGTCAATTCGGAAACTCCGGGCTGACAATCGAGTATCCCAGAGAAATTTGGTTCATCTATATATGATGTAACTACACATCCTTAGTTAATCAACCCAAGACAAAAGTGAGAAATATTGTTCAACTATATATCATGTCACTATGCCCATTATTGGAGTTTAGAAAAGTTGAAACAACTATTACAATTAGACAGTAGCATTAACGACATTCCAATTTGCTTTACCTTCATCTAAATTCAGACTGTGAGATAAAATATCTAGTACTGCTTCTGGATATTTCTCAGCTAGAATCAGAAGCTGTGACTGCTGCCAGGAACTGGGTAAATTAAGAGAACCTGATAAAATTTTGTTGATTTCTGATTCTAGAACCTCAATATCGATTTTCTGCATCTGAATACAAAAAAATATAACATATAAATGTTGGCCGATATTTGTGGTTGACTTTTATTTTGTTATCAATTTGACTGTACTGAATACTGATGGTTTTTAAATATTTTTCATTTAATAAACTTACGTCTTTATTAGTTCCATTTCTATTTACATCCTCATTTTTCTTTTTTTCTGATAAATCTTCTAATCTCCAAAATTCCTTAATAAAGGGTTCTAAAAACAATCAAATAACAAATATTTTGACAAGCATAACTTTTTCATTTTAAAGCTTCCATTTTTAAATATATTTCAAACTTTGTTAGATATGCTAAGATATGTTAATAGACTGGAAGCAAGAAAGAAATCAGAACTTCAAGGTCCACAAAGCAAAACAAGGCCATTCTAATGCTATGGCTATTCTTGTTATTTCAATAATTTGCTAGAATGAAGAGGTCTTCGGTAGTAGAAATTAACCAAAGAAGACGGTAAAAAAAGCAAGATGTCAGGCATGTAACACTAGTCCTCACTCATATAGTCCTCAAAATTACATAAGTCCCCAAATTTAATGCTGTGTAAGTGCCTGGATAACCATTAACCATCTATTCTATACATTTGGCAAACAATCTGATTAAAATAAAGATCTATATTTCGCTTCGTTCTTTTATACTTTGGATGGCCTACACTACATGAAGATCTGACAAGTTATAGCGATAGGTCACGTCAGGGGTCAAAAGACCGACTTATGACCCTATATGATGTCAGACATTTGATTAACCAATCAGCATTGATGTTACTAGAGGATTACCCACAGTTCTGTGTAAAACACGCCTAAAGCTCGCCGTAACAGACCGTTTCATTGGCTTATCCCTGACACCATTCAGAACACAAGTTAAATAACAACTCTTCCAGAACCAAGTGTAGTAAAGACAAGTAAAACGAAATTTTGTACTATAAAAACGAAACGAAATAGGATCTGTGTTTTAACCAGATTGACTTGCCAAAGTTCTTGTGGTAAAATGATCATCCTGATTGTCATACAATTAAATAATGGTATACTACAAATGAGTTCCATAACCCCTTTAAGTAACTCGTGCAATTATGAATGGTTCAATGTTTTGATTTGAAATTTTCATACCTGGTAAATAAGATATATCATGACATTTTGCGTTCGGTTTACATAGTTAAAATCACTTTCATGTTCTATACCGCTAACACCATTAGGCAGTCCAATGCTCTAGATATTGTAGGTTTGTAGTAAAACGTATGAGTGAATATAATGCTATACATATCACTAACCTATAATATGAGTAAGTTGTGATCTGGGTTGATCCATTTTATCTTTCTCCCAACTTTCCCGTAAATCTTTTGAAGTCTTAATTGATTCTTTACCATTTAACCGTTTCTAAAATAATTATAAGATTAAATAATATGTTGACATCAAATACAGCTACCTTAAGTCATTTGACAATGTTTTGAAAAGAACAAACACATATCAAGCTCTGTCAAAATGACCAGTAATATGTTTTTTCTGGGTTAAAACTTAATCTTTAATGGGGTTTTACATAATTACTGTTCAGGGGGCTTATTTTATGATGAGTATTCTAAAATTCAATAGATTTGTAATACAAAATGTTCTATTCATGTGTACAGAAGTGTTATGTTTGCTTTGTGAAATAGAGTCCTTAATGTGAAATAGTAACAAGGACTGCACCAAACATAGACAATAACACAAGACAAATCTACATACACAGCCATTTCAAATAATTAACATATATATCAGATCAAGTGAATGGATCCATATAGCTAACCGTAAATGTTCAATGCACTGTACAGTCCCTGACCTGTAGTAAATTTTGTCCTTAAAGTGGCAGAGAATCTATAAATATTTCCTACCTGAGAAATTTGAGCATATTGTAAACCGTTTGTTTGAAATGATGAACTTTTAGACAGGCAGGCTACTAGTTGATCTCTTTTTACACATTTCTATAAAAACATAAAAAATAAAATGACCATATTAATCGTAAAACTACTCATATAGTTCAAATTGACACACTACAATAACAAGCATATATAAAGACTATTTTATAGTAGTTGATGGAATACCTGTATAACATAGGCTTCTGACTGGGTAAAAAATCCACCAATAAAAACAGGGTTTATAGATGTAAGGGTATCTTCAATTTCTGTCCGGTCTGGTGATTGGATTACTTTTAATAATTGGCCAATAAGAAGACTGTAGAGCCTGAAATAAATTCACATATTATAATTTTAAACAGTTTCAGTCATTCGATTATCTGTTTATCTGAAGTTCTCTTCTATTTCTATGGTACTCTGGTATCAAAACTTCTAGATATTTAAAGAATCAAAAGCAAGACTGAAACCCGCTATAATCCTTTCTGCCAAACCAGTACATTGTGCTAGAGCTATGTGGTCAAAAATAGGAGGATTTAGGATAACTTTAAAGAAAGAATCTCATTGCAAATCCAAACATTTCTTTTAAAACAATTATTTTCTTTATTTTTAAAAGAGAAACATTTTTTATCAAAAAAGCAGGAAAGTTCTTACCTGATGTCATTTTGATTTGAGATGCCTAAAAATCCATTGGATAGAAAACAGTTGTTTTTATTTATGTTTAAATCTGATGGTAGGTGAAGAGATGTTATGGCTACTGATCCAACTTTTTCTGTAAAACAAATATCATGAACACTATAATATCTACAAATATGATAATAAATTTTTAAATTCCTATACTGCTATGTATGTGTAATAAATTCAGAGTTAATCTTCCACCAATTTAAATTTAAAGAGCACATAAATTAACACAAAGACATGGTATAAACTAAAAACAAATTTCATCTTAACTCATTGATAATTAATTGCGATATATTCATTCATATTAACTCATATACATGTTGCTCTATGCACAAAAACAATTTTAACAATAATCTAAAATACTCTATATCATTATTTAAGCATATGACATCACAGAGACCATATGAATATTAGGAGTTGTGTGATGCTCTATTTACATTGCATTATACAAACTAGCCAGACTGATTCTTATTTCAAGTGAAGTTAGCAAGACAATATAGCATAGCTTTCGGATAGTTTTTAAATAATTAATAGAGAGTTACTAATCACATACCTTGTTCTACATGAAATATATAAACAGTTCCGTCATTATATACTACAACCAACTCTTCTAGGACAGAATCATAAATAGTGACAGCATCACAACATGGTAAACACATCTAAAACCAAGGAATTTGTATAAACAAGCAGAAATCTTGCAAGTCATATTTGGCGATATTTCATACACATTAAATAACAATAACCCAATTAAAATTAAACATTTGTTGACAGATTTGGATGCCAATAATTCAGTTATTTATATTACAAAAGTCCAAAACCAATTTAAAACCATTAATATTTATATTGTTACCTGTGATATCACTGACATACAACATAATATTATATTCCTAAAATCTAACATATGATTGGTCCAATAGTTGTCAATCCTCATCTTTTCTCCACCAATGAAAACTGTCACATGATCTGTAGATGGCCTCCATAATATAGTTACGTGTACTTTTGACGTTGTGTGCCTGGAATTTGGTACCCTTGTTTGTTTTTTTAAAGATTTTAAATCAGATACAATATAAATGTTTAAAGGGGCATTATGTAAGGTTTAGATAAAGAGCTGGACGTTCTAATTTATAATATTTTAAAAATAGATAATGTCAAGTGTAAAGTGAATCTATTGAAACAATTTTGTAGAACGTGGCATTTGACATCACCGAACCAGTTTTCTAGTTTGAAGCTAACTTCGAATATATACCATTAACACCAAATCTTATTTGCAGTGAACAGTGATGTTTTATATTATCTCCCTTTTGTTTTCGTTTTGAGTGACGCATGCCATATCAAGTTTACGCCCGACTCCCAGATCCATTCACTTGATTTGATTATACTTGGCTCGCTGAAGGTCCTGTGTTCGATCCCTGAGTTAGCCAAGAAAATTCCTTGGGATTATCCGGTGTGGTTCCTTCTTGCCAGTGGTGTAAGCAGGAGGGCCTTGCAAGGGACAACGTACAGCCGTTCGGATGGGACAAAAACCTGAGGTATGTCCCGTGTACACATTGGCATGCACGTCAAGGAATCCTTGACAGTTAGAATTCAAAAATGTCCCTCATGACGACATGATTTTATGATTCAGCACAAAATATGCTATTTTTTTTTCACGGCTTGCAAAATGACTGACGGGTCTGATCCAGTTTCGGTCATTTTCCAAAGCCCTCAGTCCCATCCAGCATATATGGCCGACATGGAACCCATGCTATTGACATAACTCCTGGAAGCATGCGTGTACCTTAAAATATCAATCATCACAAATCCATACTTACCTTGCTACAATACATAAAAAATCTCTCATTTGAAAGACATCAGCTTCAGGACAATGTGATAATATTATTTCTAATTTACCAACTGACCTTTCTTCTAATTCTTCTAAATCTGTAAAGATTAAGATTGGTTAACAGACGAGCAACCTCAACACTGCAAAAATCTCAAATATATAAAAAAGCTTTGAAGTTTCTTGCAGTTTTATAGTATGCCAGCCAAACTAGACAATGTTTATTAAATTCAAATTTTGTCTGAAGTAAGATATATCTATTTATACCATTAAACACCACGGCATTACACATTTACTGTCACACATTAGCTGAAGCCTAGTCTACACAACAGTGAGTATTTGACTGTGGCCTTTCAGATGTCAATTTCATATCAATACTATTGAGATATTTTTCTTTTTATTGATATTTTTAATACATATCCAGTACAAAGTTAGAAATATCAGGTACTAGTTCATCAGCGCCTGACATTTTATCAGGCTTCAAGTTACAAATAAATACTAAATGTTTCCATTTTTACCCTTTGGTAATCCACGCTTACACACATTATAAACACCATCGTTTCTTTCACACCAATAGATGGTACTATGATCATCTTGTACACAGAAACTGATGACCTCACTGGTCTTAGTTGATGGAATTTGAACTTGGTGGACGCCAGACCATACCTGTGTTTCACCGGAATACTTCCAGACTTGCAATGTTCCATTTCTAAAAACCTACAGTACATTTAAAGTAACAATCCAGCGGATTCAGAATAACTGAATTATTTCTACTGTCTAATGTGAAATAAAATGGTAGCAATGACTTGTAACTCATGTCAATGGCTATAATTTCATAGACTTGATTAATGTTAGTTTATTTATAAAGTCTGTGTACGTATGAAATTTAAGCACCAAAATATAGAGGTATGGTGTATTTACATTGTATGAAAATTTCAGCTCAGAATATCGAGTCATTTGGACGTGAACGTCAAAACTGCTTATTCGGACACGTAACCCTTTTAAGATTTCAGGTCAGTTTTTTCGTTGGGTGACCTGATAATTGATTCCCATTCCTTTAGAGGTCTATACAATGAATGACCGATGTGCTGTACTTGATAACGAAAGGTAAATTTCACCTACACATAATTTTTATAAAATAAAAGTCTAGTTTTATCAAGACACCACATAATACAGCTTGGGCCACCGGTCCCCAATTCCAGGTGAAGACTGACGGGTTTAAATTGTTTGAAAATGTATCACATATATTGAGTTAGTGGCTCGGATATAGGGTAGAGGATTTTAAGGGATTTTAACACACAATTAGGCAGTTTTATTCTTGAAAATATTATAAGGATTAGCCCTTTAAGATTGGTTCCTAAACAAATATCTACACATTTACACTTCAGTTATAAAGTATTTATTCAAAAGTCTATAACTTACAATTAACACTGTCTTGGAATAAAGATTAGAGAGAACGATATCCACAACCTCACTCTTAATATCTAACAAATCGAGAAAAACTGTATCCTCAAACTGCTGCAAAAAACCCAAAAAAAAACAGCGGCTGCCAGACAGGATACACCCACATTTTGCAAGAGATGGATAGAGAACAAGCTAAACAAAAATTGATTTTTCGTACAATCAAGGGCTATAATTCAGGAAGTTACGATCCCGAAAGGAACCAAGATCTTTGGGTTATATACATGCATTTTAAGTGTCATCAAAATCAGATGAAAATTGTGACCTCTAGAATGTCCACAAACTAAAAATGTGATTTTTCGTACAATCAGGGCCCATAATCCATGAAGTTATGGTCCGATATATACCAATATTGAAAGGAACTGAGATCTTTGGGAGTTAGACCTATATTTTATGTTTCGTCAAAATCGAATAAAAATTGTGACCTGTAGAGTGTCCACAAACAAATTGTGGACGGATGTCCGGACGGACGGACAATGGCAACGACAATATACGTCCACATGAAAATGTGGGCATATAAAAATTAGAAATAAGTTATCATCAATTAATTTATCAAACTTCAGAACATGTATGGTTCTCATAATTTTTCACAACTTTCATAACTTTAAGAGAGTTTAAACATTTTATTTCATAATTTCATATACACTGTATAACCTAAACCCTATAACTAATATGTCAATCAAGGTCTATGCTTGCTATTTTTTAAAAACAATAATGTGTAATATAAAATGTGTTATTTTCAATTTCTATACTACATGACAGTGCTAGGGTTTAACAATTGGAGTCACGGTGGCTCAGTGAGTAAAAAGTTGGGTCTCTAATCTGGAGGTCCTGTGTTTGATGCCTGCGTTGGCCAAGAATGTTTATTAAGATTTTCCGACATGGTTCCCCCGTGTCAGTGGTGCGAGACAGAGAGCATAAACTTATCATCACTCTAAAGTGTGCTTGCAGAGGATCTGTACCTGTAAATGTGCTGGCTTACAGTCAAATGTCAAGAGATGTTTCTCCTTATCAGTTGTAATAAAAACATGACCAGCGGCCAGCCAGGACTTGCTAATTCCTCCATTTTTTATGACTTCTGAAAGTTTCTAAAATGAAAACCAATACAAATATGCATTACCTTAACATTGTTAGTAGTCCAGGACAAAGAGACTGGTAAGGAACATAGAGTACACATTGGTGTGCACATAAAAGAATCCTTTTATGGGCCGCTTTATGAGTAAAACTTAAGTTAATGATGTATGCCCATCTTCATTAACACAGATAATATAGGAGCAGAAAAGTAAGACATTAAACCTCATTGCATTTTCCAGGCAAAATTTTCGTAATCCATCTGCATATTCTCATCTTTATTAGCCTTAAATTGGTGCAGAAAAGTTGGATATTAAAGATTTCTTTAAGCTTTTGATCAAAGTAAAATCTCTGAACGTTACAAAATGTTGATTCAGAAAATAATGACCTTCTCCATGCTGACTCTCCCCTCTGACTATTCATCACAATATAGCAGGAACATGTATCAAAGAGGCAAGAGGTAGTTCTCTACGTTCTTGTCACTGATAGTATAATCAGGTAAATACTATGGTTCAAAATTAGCATCTGAACGAAAAAAATAGTGGTGTTAAAAATTCAGAATTCGGACCCTAGATAAGAAACCTCACCTCTCAAACCTCCGTGTTTTGAGATAAGTGATGGTACTCTATAGTTTCAACTGCCAAACCCCCAACGCTAATCAAATAAGCAAAATTGACAATTTTTTCTTCAAAATAACAATTGATTATTGTTATTTATAACATTTCTGCCACATCCAACTACAATTAAGCATAAAATCCTACCTCTTTTTAAATCAAAGCGATAATAGATTGCTTTCTCAAGACATTTTAAATCTGACGTCTTTAACACATAAAAAGGTGGGGCCTCGTGTACAATAGCCAATCACAGTTCTAACCTGATCCGAGCTGCGCGCAGGAGTACACCGTAATTATGAATGTTCGTATCAATTTTGATAAAAACAACGCTTAGTTCACTTTATTGGCAATATTTGCTCATAAATGAAAGTTGTTTCAGTTTCAGTAAATTGGACTGTGTTAGTGTGTATGTCATACTCATAAAATGATAAATCATATGTGTAATAATTTCTAATAATAAAAATTAACTTATTTTTAAGATGTTACATGCATTAATACAGAAATTAAGTTTGCCAGGTGAAACCAAAGGCACCCAATCGTAGCTAAAACAAGCACATCATTATATCTCAACCATATTTGGTACGTTCTCGTAGCTAGTCGGACCCAAGAGCAGGAGCCTGAGGAGGGCGGAAAAAAACAAACTTACGTCTTTCCTGCTGAGAGGAAAACAAGATATTAAGGGTTTAACTTCAAAATCTACATTCTTTAGAAACTCTGCTACACAATCATCAGATTTTGTAAGTTTCCATTTTCTATTTTTTATGTTATTACATAGTATGCACATTTTGTTACGATTGTTTACATTTTTATTACTTTCACTTCATAGCTAAAACTATCTTTTGCACTAGAGATTAGACTAAGGGAAATAACTGTAAAAATGACGAAGGTGATCCAAGGGACAAAACTCCAAAAGTGATAGAAGTGAGTTGCCTCCCATTATATATAAAATTGTCTATGCCCTGAATAAAACTTGAGGACAACACTGGAACATTTTGATGTATTACGTTGTTAGGAGATTAACAAATGAAGTGATTAACTGCAAGAAAAATATAAAGAGACTAAATTTTTTAGCATTCATTCATATTGATGATGTGACTCCCATAAAAATCCTACCTCTAACCCTAAATATACTATTCAAAAAAAGTAGGGGATATTTGATTTTGGAGGCATAATACTAAAATATGCAAATGACTATGAAAAAAGTCACTATAGAACCTAACAGAAGAAACATTTCCAGTTACATGTGACGCCCAAACGCACCAATAGCTACCGCATGGAATGCAGGTGATGCTTGGGATCATCATGGGGGTCCAACCCAAGATTTGCACGACTCTGACTTTGAATGTTACAGTCATTGTGGCATTGAATTCCAGGGTGGAAACATCAGTTTAATTGTTTTAGTGACCAGAAAACAAATTTTGATATGCGTCGGCTTACCCAAAATGAAAGGTTACGTGCCCTTGGCATGCTACAGATCGGCACAACACAAGCGGTTTTGGCGCGGACGATGAATGTTTCTCAGTCTGTCATAAGCAGGCTATGGTCCAGATACCGTGATACACAATCTGTACAGGACAGACCACGCTCAGGTCGACCAAGGGCGACAACTCAAGCCCAGGATCGATTTATCCGTACCTTGGCCTTGAGAAATCGTGTCATCACAGCAAATCAGATCAGCGCTCGTCTTCAAACAGACACTGGTGTGAGAGTGAGTGGCCAGACGATTCGGAATCGACTGCATAGGGGTCACCTTCGCGCCCGACGTCCTCGCGTGATCCCTTGTTTGAGAGATCATCACATTCAGGCAAGACGTCGTTGGTGTAGGGATCGTCAACACTGGGATAATCGACGCTGGAGCAATGTGATGTTTTCAGATGAGTCAAGGTTCACTGTTGATTTTTTAGACAGACGTAGGAGGGTGTGGCGTCGTCGAAACGAGCGCTTCCAAGACGTTAACGTCATCAGACATGATCGATTTGGGGGTGGTTCTGTTATGGTGTGGGGAGGCATCACTGTTGCTGGAAGAACGGCTTTACATGTTGTTGCAGGGCGTGTTACAGGCCAGTACTACCGGGACAACATCTTGGCAGTCCATGTTGTGCCGTTCGCACGACGTCATGGCCGTCGTTTCATCTTCCAGGATGACAACGCAAGATGTCACAGGGCCAGGATCGTTACAGGTTACCTCCAACAACAGAACATCACCACATTACCTTGGCCAGCACTGAGTCCCGACCTCTCCCCCATCGAGCATGTCTGGGACATGCTTGGACAGAGGTTACGTCAACGTCAACAACGTCCTGCCAATGTCCAATAACTTGCTGCTGCGTTGCAACAGGAATGGGACAATCTGGACCAAAATGACCTTAGACGTCTCATTAGGAGTATGCCACGTCGGATCAATGCTTGTTTGGCAAACAGAGGAGGATTTACCCGTTACTGAATTGGTTGTGATGCTGTGGTAACTTTGCTGTTTGACCCCGGGTATCATTTTACCCTTATAATGGTCAGTCTGTGCCTTACTTAGTCTAACGATCATTTGGAATAAATCGATGAATGTGAACTTCATTTCATTTTGTCATTTGTTTCTTCGTCAGTTTCATTAGGTGACTTTAATAACACTTAAAAATCAAATATCCCCTACTTTTTTTGAATAGTATAAAAGAAAGTTTTTTTTTTTTTTTTTTTTTTTTTACAAGCATATATACTATTCAAAAAAAGTAGGGGATATTTGATTTTTAAGTGTTATTAAAGTCACCTAATGAAACTGACGAAGAAACAAATGACAAAATGAAATGAAGTTCACATTCATCGATTTATTCCAAATGATCGTTAGACTAAGTAAGGCACAGACTGACCATTATAAGGGTAAAATGATACCCGGGGTCAAACAGCAAAGTTACCACAGCATCACAACCAATCCTCCTCTGTTTGCCAAACAAGCATTGATCCGACGTGGCATACTCCTAATGAGACGTCTAAGGTCATTTTGGTCCAGATTGTCCCATTCCTGTTGCAACGCAGCAGCAAGTTCTTGGACATTGGCAGGACGTTGTTGACGTTGACGTAACCTCTGTCCAAGCATGTCCCAGACATGCTCGATGGGGGAGAGGTCGGGACTCAGTGCTGGCCAAGGTAATGTGGTGATGTTCTGTTGTTGGAGGTAACCTGTAACGATCCTGGCCCTGTGACATCTTGCGTTGTCATCCTGGAAGATGAAACGGCGGCCATGACGTCGTGCGAACGGCACAACATGGACTGCCAAGATGTTGTCCCGGTAGTACTGGCCTGTAACACGCCCTGCAACAACATGTAAAGCCGTTCTTCCAGCAACAGTGATGCCTCCCCACACCATAACAGAACCACCCCCAAATCGATCATGTCTGATGACGTTAACGTCTTGGAAGCGCTCGTTTCGACGACGCCACACCCTCCTACGTCTGTCCAAAAAATCAACAGTGAACCTTGACTCATCTGAAAACATCACATTGCTCCAGCGTCGATTATCCCAGTGTTGACGATCCCTACACCAACGACGTCTTGCCTGAATGTGATGATCTCTCAAACAAGGGATCACGCGAGGACGTCGGGCGCGAAGGTGACCCCTATGCAGTCGATTCCGAATCGTCTGGCTACTCACTCTCACACCAGTGTCTGTTTGAAGACGAGCGCTGATCTGATTTGCTGTGATGACACGATTTCTCAAGGCCAAGGTACGGATAAATCGATCCTGGGCTTGAGTTGTCGCCCTTGGTCGACCTGAGCGTGGTCTGTCCTGTACAGATTGTGTATCACGGTATCTGGACCATAGCCTGCTTATGACAGACTGAGAAACATTCATCGTCCGCGCCACAACCGCCTGTGTTGTGCCGATCTGTAGCATGCCAAGGGCACGTAACCTTTCATTTTGGGTAAGCCGACGCATATCAAAATTTGTTTTCTGGTCACTAAAACAATTAAACTGATGTTTCCACCCTGGAATTCAATGCCACAATGACTGTAACATTCTTGGGTTGGACCCCCATGATGATCCCAAGCATCACCTGCATTCCATGCGGTAGCTATTGGTGCGTTTGGGCGTCACATGTAACTGGAAATGTTTCTTCTGTTAGGTTCTATAGTGACTTTTTTCGTAGTCATTTGCATATTTTAGTATTATGCCCCCAAAATCAAATATCCCCTACTTTTTTTGAATAGTATATTAAGTACATTTATATCTTAAATGATAAAATACATTATTCTATATAAATGGTGAGTCGCAGGGTTCCTACTATACACAGATCTAAGTACATAAATCCATCAATGGGGAATCGTTATGGAGGCAATCTGTTAGTTCTTAAAAAGATATTTCCATTTATTTGTGTATAATTCTGGAGATATCTCAATCTCCATTTTAGCATGCTCTACTAAAAAGCTTTCATACTTATTAATATTGAGCATTTCGTTTCGTAGTTTAGCCCGATATATATAGAATTTAGTTAAAATAATTACATGATTAATGAAAATCCATTCAGTATTACTTATATAATTTGATTTGTTAGTTAGACCAAGGTGTATTATATGTGTTTTTATATTTATCTTTATATTACCACGATCTAGGATAGTATGAAGATGATTCCATATTATTTGTGAAAATGGGCAAAGGACAAAGAGATGTTCTACATTTTCTATATTAGATTCACAGAAAGTGCAGAGTGTGTTATCAACTTTTCTAATTTTGAATAATTTATCATTTGTGAATATAATCCTATGGAGATATTTGTATTCAAAACTCCTCAGTTTTGTACTAAGACATACAATGTTTATTATTTTGAATATATTTTCTACGTCTAAATCACTTAACTCGGTATCTAGAATGTGTTCCCATTCTTTAATGGCTTTTGACCTGCTGAACTTTGCTTGTATTCGGCTATCATAAATATTTTTTAAGTTTACGTTGTGAAAATGGGTATTATATATTTTGTAAAAATTAGTATTTATATCTTCCAAGGGAGTTCTATTACAATTAAAATTTGTATGTACCGCACTTTCAAACTCGCTCGCTTCCTGTACATACTGCAAGATACACTTTTCTATTCCTTTTAAGATAAATTGATGTTTTTCTAAATATTGATTATCGATCTTATTTATTTTATCAAAATATTCACTAACGTACCGAATATTATTGTTAAAAAGAAAGTTTAAAAATATAGTTTTATTATTAATCTTTATATTTGTATTATTCCAAATAATTTGATTTTCAGTGTGGGCAATGTTCTTTATATGCGTTGTGTAGATTGTATACCAGTTGGCATACAGGTTTTTATAAAAAGGAATTTTTAGATTTAACTTATCTGGAAAGTTGCATGCAGGTAATAAATTTCCACCATATTCAGCCATAATGAATTCATATGGTATGAGCCATGTTTGGATTGGTGACTGATATATTTTTTTAATCCAAAAAATGCTATTACATATTATTAATTCTTTTAAGTCAATCATTTTTAATCCGCATTTTTTATTTTTTTGTATAAGAATGTCTCGCTTTATTCTGTCAGGACCGTTCCATATAAATTTGTAAAAAATTGTGTTTAGTTGTTGAATAGTAGAAAGTTAGGTCCTAGAAATATGTACAGTAGGACAACCACGGTCGACAATTTTAGTTATAATGTGACCGTAATGTGAGCCACCCATTATACACTGTTCCATTATTAACTGAGCCACATATTTACAATATCCATGTCCTTCATTAATATATCGCCCTTTAAACATACATTATGCAAGAGCTAAATCTGCCTATTTCAGGTCTTTTGATTTAGGCCTGAAATGTTATCTACCAGACCATAA